AACCATGGCAAGAAAGGTTGAAAATGGGGCAAAACCTATTAAATGTTTCACTTAAAATTTGGGGCTCAATTGTGGTCATATGTTGAGGACTACTCGTATTCACTGCCCATGAATTCCTTACTGATAAGAAATTGGAACCCAAGCCTTCAGCTGCAACTGCACTAATAATATTGTTGAAATTTAAATTGGGAAGATGCACATAGAATATAACAGAGAGAAAAACGATACTGTACAAATGTGAATGTGCTGATTACTTCTTGGAGAGTCCCAAGTATGACTTAGAACTAATAAAAGAAAAAAGTATTTGATTCAGAAACAGATGTCTATCATGGGAGAAAATGTGTTTTTTGTTTGCACTGGCTGTTGAACTTTGCTGAAGGCTGCAGGCAGCTGTGCCAGCAGCTGAAAAAGGCTGATTCAGAATCACATCTTTCAATCATTAAATTAAAATTAATTTTCTAGAATGCTCTTTATTTCTAGGGTGCTTGTTTTAGTGTCATTTTGTTCTTGTCTTTCATAGCATTCTGTAGATAATTTTGATTTTATATAAAATCACAGCATGTAAATAATAAATTCACAAAGTGTCATTTTATGGAAATAAATGGTTGTCATAAAAATACAAATAAATTCAAAACTTTAATTTACTGTTACATTTTCTCAATTGTGCTCAAATTCCAGTGTTTTGAACTTTAATAAATATACATTTTTAAAATTCTCCAGTGTCTAAAATCTGTCATAAATTGTAAAAAATAGGTTCTTATTTCCTCTGTGGTTAGCACACAGCTGGTGTTCTGATCAAAAATAACTAACAACATCTCATTGGGCAAAATATACACACAGATGGAACATCATTTAGCACATATTTGACGAATGATAGGAAAATACACATTCAATTTTTTTACATCAAAGTTTTATGCAGCATGAAAGCAATATATACATATTTTTAAAGAGCATGACTCTGTCCCTCTTCTAAAAAGGCCTCATGGAATCAAGATTGATAAAAAAAATAATTTAGCAAACATTCATTATATATGGGATTTTTACCTAGGTTTGAAAAAAAGTAAGATTTGTACACATAATCTTTAAAAACAGAATAACCAAACCTCCAATCCACATTAAACACTTTTACAATTCACAGGGTAAATAATTTAGGTAGATTCTTAATTCTCCCACTGAAAAATGGGTGTAAAAGTCTATAACTTAATTGGACCATGTTTATCCATTAACATCTGCTTTTCTATATGAAAGGGGGGGGGGAAGCAGCAAGAGTTCTGAGAAAGTATCATTAAATATGAAACACAGCTGATGTTCAAAACAAGAACATCTGTTCTTCTCTCCATTAATGAATATTATTCTCTATATCAGCATTTTTCAACTTTGGCAACTTGAAGATGTGTGGAGTTCAACTCCCATGTTGGCTGAGGAATTCTGGGAGTTGAAGTCGACACATCTTCATACTGCCAAGGTTTAGAAATACTTCTCTACAGCATAGGTCACCAACCCTCAGTCTGTGGTCAGGAAATGGACCGCACCAGTGGTGGGCAAATGCGTGAGTGCATGAAGCTGCATTTGCATAAGCAGTGCACACATGCACAAAACTATCTCCACTCCTCTGCAGAGTGGGAAAGGTTGGGGACCACTGCTATACAGTATAAGAAAGAGTCTTTCTCACAAGGCAATTCTGGGCACTTGGGTTGTTTTGGATAATGATTGCGTATGTGGGAACGTATGTGTGCATTGTCAAAGTCTATAAATTACATTGCTTGATAATTTAAGAGATGTTTAACGGCAAACTGAAATATTTTAACTTTCAGAGCATCCATCAAGGAATATGTATGCTTTCTCAGGATTTACAGGAATTCAAAAGTTCAGTCTTGATTTGAATCAATATAAGCCAGTTTTCTTAGCAAAATAAATGGTCTGGTGATTCAAGTCTACATAAGAAAAATTTTAGATTCTGTGCAGGTTCATTAATTAAATCATATCTGGTATGCATCTGCTCATTTTCTTATATATTCACACAAAGTGAAGTAGTCTGGTAGCATCAACTAATACATTTTATTAACAGGTAAAAAACGCTTTTGTGAATGGTTTTGTTATTCAGACTCCTAATGTTTTGCTACCATCATTAATACAGCATTTTCCTCCTACAATGTCACAATTGAAGAGAACGTGTTTCTGCAGTTAGAAGTAATACTAAGTATAAACTAGGGCACAAATAAAACTGGAAATGATTGATGTAAATGCTTTCATATTAAGCACAATTAAGGGGGAATTTCCCTCTGGAGGACAGGGAAGTCAATGAGCGAATATAAGATGCTGAATTATGAAACATTAATTCAATCTGAATGTGTAAAATTGTGCCTCCTACCCCATTCTTCTGATTAATAAAACTCCCAGCAAACAAAATCCATAGTGGTCTTAAAAGATATTTTGACTTCATTTTTTTTCCTGCAGACGACATTTTCATCAGACCAAATTCGGAACCTATAAATCTAAATTTAGAGTAAATTACAGATTTCTTGAAAAGAAAAAGGATTATTGGATCTTCATAAACATCCAAACATTCCCCCCCCCACGCTTTTTAATTGGAGATGCAAAGACAGAAATGAAAATGAGTTCAGAAGTAAATACTGAGCTTTCATACAGCTACTTCTAGTAATATTTTAAATCCTTTATGTAAATTATCAATTTGGTCATCATCATACTACTATATATGATGGGCCACTCTTATCCTGATATTTCAGATCTGAGGAAAAAGGCACTTTGGCTAAAAGATCACAGCTGACTGAGGCCACTAGGAAATACACAGCTAAGGCAAAATTATTTGAATTAGAGCAGTTCTCAAACTGTAAGTCAGGAATTCAGAAAAGGGGTTTTAACAAAGACAAAGAAGCAAGCAAATTGCCCCTGAGAGCTCTCAAAGCTTCTTGCTTTATCCATGCAAGCCCAAGAGGCAGTTGAAGTATTAAAAGTTTGAAAACTTCAGTGAGATGCATGTTAGAAATAAATGATTACGGTGGTATATGTTTTGTCCAATGCTAAGTAAGCCCAGTGAAATTATCACTTTTATCCATGGGAGAGGATTCATATCAGTTTAGGTTGTAGTCTCAGGATTCATGGCCTAGGCCAGTGTTTCTCAACCTTGACAATTTTAAGGCATGTGGACTTCAACTCCCAGAATTCCACAGCCAGCAACGCTGGCTGTGGAATTCTGGGAGTTGAAGTCCACATGCCTTAAAATTGTCAAGGTTGAGAAACACTGGCCTAGACATTTCCTATCTTATATCTTTTTTTTTTTGTTTTGCTTATATATAGGCTTTCTAATAGTAGTTTGATTAATTCTATATTGGCTTGAGTTAATGAAATTCCCCATGTATTTTACCCGTCTGCCTGAGAAGAATTATTTGTGGGTCTAATCATGCCTGAAACATTCAAAATAAAGGCAACAAAAAATGAAACACTAACAGAGCTGCTCTTTTCTTCCAACTGTTTTAACAAAATGCTGTAAAGATATGTACCTCTGACCAAGAGGTTTCATTTATTTTAAAACCCTCTCAACTTTTGCTAAAAGATGGAGTAATTTAAATATTCTGAGACTTGTTCTAAAGCAGTGGTTCTCAACCTGTTGGTCGGGACCCCATTTGGGGTCGAACGACCATTTCACGGGGGTCGCCATTTTTTCCCCCTTTTCCTTAGCTGTGCTACTCCCTTTTATTCTATTGGCTTTTGAAAGCCAATAGAATAGACTCTCTTGAATAGAGTCTAATTCTATTGGCTTTCAAAAGCCAATAGGAATTGTCCAGGCTGTCTCTGCCCTGCTGAGCCCGCCAAAAGTCCCATTCTGCAAACGGCGCTGCACCAGTTGAGCAGACCTCGACTTACGACTGGTTGAGTAGTCCTCGACTTACGGCCGGTTGAGTAGTCCTCGGCTTATGACCAGTTGGGGGTCGCGGCATTAAAAAGGTTGAGAACCACTGTTCCAAAGAGTGAAGTATGGGAACAAAGTGTAATTTTGTTTTTTAAAAGAGTAACATGAAAGGGGGGACAAGCTTCAAAAGTTAAATAAATTTCGGCAGAATTAGATTATACTATTAAAAATTTATACTAATTTCAAAACAATGCTGAAGATTGGCTATGGACTCCACCCAAGGGGGAGAAAGAATCTAAATATGCTGAAGGATGCAAAGAGGACTAGACTGCCTAAGAAATCTACCAGAGATGGATTCCTACTCTGTGCCAAGCTATAAGCAATGGCTTATAAACCATAACTGGATCCACACAACATGTTAAGGCACAAATGAACAATTGCAACTTAATACAATGAAGAAATCCAGTGAGACTCTGAGCACATGCAAAAAATATAGACCTGATATAAAATATAAAACAGTACACATTGCAGCCTTAAAAACATTTCAGATTCATATTATAAATGAATGAATTTAGATATCCTAAAATGTCAGTCTTTTTTAAAAAGACTCACAAATCAAGCTTAGATTCTTCTCCTTTTCCCTCTCTGCTGAAATACCAAATACAAGTAAACTCATGCAATTCTTTTTTAATATAAAAAATATCAAAGTTCTTTGCTCTCCTGCTATCAATTTTTTTTAAAAAAACCCAGTAAATATATGAAATGTACAAAAGAATTGCCATATAAAATATATAAAATTATCTACAGCTATACATAGAGGGATTTATTTATATATATATATTTATAAAAACAATGTACTTTAAGGCAAGGTGTCCCTCACATATTGGATAGAAATTGGAGAAGAAAAGAAAGGTGACATGATGGAATACGTTTTCCTCCTTTGGCAATCCTGCTGAAACTGAGCAGAACCCCAGCATAAAATCAGATGGGGATTAATAATACATCTTGTGTTATTATTGATGATTTATTCCTCAAAGGTGAGTCTCTTGTTCAGTTGCAATTCCTCTGATCTATACCCCATGCAGTATTGCCATGGCTCAGACCACATTTCAAAGGCCCCATTTTTTTATTTTTTTGCAGTAGTGAATTCCATTTTTCTGGTCTCCATATGGCACAATTGATGCAGTCAGGCAAGTACTTTGGAGCGCCTATAACTGTAACTTCACTGAGCAACTCACAGGAAATTGTGGAATTGTCACAAGTAGGTGTGGATTCCCAAAGTGACAGTCTTGGCATCCTCACTCCATGGCAAATGGCAAATGAACTGCAGACTCAAATGCAGACTTGAGTTGTGCCAACCACAATGTTACAGCAGAGTCATTATCCAAGGTAACAGAGTCTTCACTATTTCCTGATGATTCAAATTGAAGTTTCATTACTGCCTCTGTTCGTGAGAAGAAGTAACCATGCAACTTAGGGTTAAATAGTGCCAAGCTGACAACTGCAAGTGAAACTACTAGATTATCATAGTTATGTTACTATGCAGAATAAGAGCCATGCTTCAACAGCTAAGCTTCCACAAGTGTGGGCCATTTTTGAGTGCAAAAGACCAAAGTGAACAGAGAATCCTTGATAAGTAATATTGGTAGGGGGGGGGGTCAGAGTCTTAGATGAAGATAACTGATAAAGGAAATGTTTTGGGAGAAGACAGAAATGAAGTTTGAGAACACAAATCGAGTTTATCCAATTCGATCACCGAGATTATACTAAATCAGATTTTGTGACTCAGATGTGTCACAAAAGTGTTTCAAGTTAGCAATGTGGAAGGTGTTGAAGGACATGAAAGGGAAATAGAGGAGGAGAAGAAGCAAAGCGAAGAACAGATGGTTCTGATGCTAATTCCTGAATGAATGTCCAAAACAAGCTACTGAAAGAATTAAATGGTAAGTCTTTGGAAAGAAATAAGCACCAGAAACTCAAGAGAAATAGCAACAGTGGGAAAAGCATGGTAAACATGCAGACTTAGCACTCACTCAGAATCCGAGTTATTCTCAGCTGTTATTGTTCCCATGTGGACATTCATGGCTAAGCCATTCATCTGTTCTGGAGGATTTTCTCTTCTTGGGTTTTTTATTGTTACTCCAGAGTCTGAAGTGGAGCGAACACCATTGTTAGTCCCAACAGAAGTAGTTCTAGGTGAGATCGTAGTTTGATGATAGTCTGACAATTTTTCTCTTAGTCGATTCTTCATATTTTTGTCCACTAATGGAGGAGGGTAGGTGATTTTATTTTTCAATATGCCTAACACAGGGAAGAAGAGCATATGGGCATCGTATTAATACAATAAGACAAAAAAACCAAAATGTTCATTTAGTAAAAGGCAATGCTTTGTGCATATTTATGCTTGACATGAAGAATATTTCCATTTCAACTTCTATAATACTCTTCACTTGAATTATCTGATGCCCATCTGGATATGACCTGCCCCACCAAGCAAATGTAGGGTCAAAAGGAAAATGTTACCATTTAATCGTAGTTTATGGTGCAAACTATTTTAATAAGGAAGTAGGATTAAAGCACTGAAGGAAGTCCCCCCTAATGCAAAGAAATTTTGGTTTAAGATTCACTTATGGCTGGAAAAATGACTAAAATACAGATAGAATTTAAGCCAGAACTTTTTCTGTTAGGAATATTAGGACTTAATTATGGAAAAGAGAATCAATATTTAATATTACATGTATTGACAGCTGCAAGAATAGTATTTGCCCAATCTTAGAAAAATGAAAATCTACCACCTGACCAGACTATAATTATGAAAATCTTAGAATGTGCAGAAATGGATAGACTAACTTTAGAGATTAAAGATAAAGAAGATTCAGTTTATTTTAAAACATGGGAAAAAAATTATCAATGGTTAGCAATACGATAGAACGAGAAAGGATGGTGAAGTTTAACGGGATGAATGATAATTATTAACTAAGCTTTACTTTTATGATTGTTATTATTAGTGATTATAACTGTTTAGTATTATATTAATTACTGTCATTTAATATTTGTACCCGGACGATAGTCTGCTTGCTAAAGTGTTGAATTTTTTATTGGGGGTATCCCCAGGATTGTACCTACCCCTACCCTTATCCCAACCCCATCCCCTAATCCTACCCAATACCCATACTGATCTTATCCTTCCCTTACCCTTATAAAACTCAATAAAACATTTACAAAAAAAAAAAAGGTATTGGAATTTCTGCCACTTCACATATGAAGCTAAGAGAAATAGAGGCAGGTCAGAATGTCTTTCCCTGTCACAAACCAACATAACAGTTCTTAACAGTCAGTCAGATTACAAATAAAGTATTTTAGAAGTATACTTGCCAATATATGAAGTGGCTTTAAACTACAGCAGTGGTGGCGAACCTATGGCACGTGTGCCAGAGGCGGCACTCAGAGCCCTCTCTGTGGGCACGCATGCCGTTGCCCCAGCAGAGTTCACCAGAATAGTGAGCATGTGGTGTTTGGAAGCGACGGGGCATGAAGTGAGCGAGCAAACGGCATTGGCCCTCTGGGGATGCCCCGGAGATGGTGAGGGATTGGTCCCCGCCACCCTGGTCCTAGACCACCCACCCCAGCCATGCCCACCCAGTCTGACATGACCACAGCTGTGACCACCACAGTTATGCCCACCCAGCGGCCATGCCCGCCCAGTGGGCCACGCTCCCCCTCTCCCTGAGAGCACAATGCTGATGCGGCCCTGGCACTTTGCAATAAGTAAGTGGGTTTTGGGTTGCATTTGGGGCACTCAGTCTCTAAAAGGTTCGCCATCACTGAACTATAGCATTGAATTCTGAGAGCCCTTATTTTTCATTGCAATGCGATGAACATTGAACAATCTGAGAGCCCTTATTTTTCATTGTAATGCAACTTTCATAACAAGGACTATATTAGATGAGGCTGAAAGTTCATGTTTCAGCAACTTGTTTCTCACAATGGCCACAGAGATCTCTCTAGACAAGTGAAGCAAAAGGTTTTCTTTTAGGATTGTTCTCTAGCAATCAACATACATGATAGGTCTGAGCCTGAAGGCATCACATAATTAATAATGATACTATACTCCATGTATGTATATTCTCTCCTATTAAAGCCACATAATTTTGCAGTAGTGGATTTCATAATTTAAACCTTCTTTGATACCTTTCCTCTGTTCTGGTGGTTGATGGTTTTGATGAGTGAGTGGTTTATTCTCCTTTTGCTGTCCCTCTTCCTCTTTTTCCGGAGGTATTTCACTGCTGTGATTCACTTGATTTTCCTGATGTAGTTCTACATTAACCTTTGTTTCCACCTTCAGTTTTTGTTTTGCATTTGGCTCTTCCTCATCACTTGCATCGATGCCTTCAGATGGCCAGTAGGGTTTCACATGGTTGGGCACCGTATCAACTGCAGAATGCAAAATATTTAAAACACAATACACAAACATACAGATTTTTGAACTAAAATTTCAATGAGCAACTCTTCAAATTTTGACAATTATCTTCAACTTAAGATGAAAAAAAACCATCAGCAAGGAAAGACTTTTCTATTGCTCACTGTTCACAGACAGATTCTTTATGATGCTCAGTAACCAGTCCATCAAACACATTGCATAGATAAAAGTAATTAGCATGCCAATCAAGCTGCTGAGCATCTCTCATATTACAGGACAGAATTTGCCACAGCTGAAGAAATACTGTATAATCCTTTGAAACTAAAAGTCAAATTTGTAAATAAAACAGATCAGAATGATCAGGAAATGCAATTAAATGTGGAGTTAACAGCTTGTGGCAGGTGTCAGCATAAAACAGACAAGAAACCCCTAACAACTTCAAAATCTCCTTTCCTCCATATGCTTAATCTAGATTTGGATGGAATAACTCTTATATTACCCTCAAAATTCAGTGATGGAATTTCTATAGGTTTTTTAAAAATATTTTAAATACTGCACTGTCTTTACAAGGAGATTGAGGTTATGAATATCTGAATTGTACAGATGGGGTTTTCAAGTAAGCAACATATTGTCCTCAAAGAATCACATACTGTCTGGATTTCTTGGCCTTAAGTCTCCTTTTTTTTTTTAAAGGGGAAGCTCAAGGGCTTATACTTTTCACCTTTAGGAGTGCTGTGGACTGGGACTGGGACCCGCTCATTGTTTTTCAAAGTGCCAGTGTTCCATTTCTTCTCCACGTCTATCACATCTTCCTCACTATCTGACGAGTGAGAGGAAGCGTACGAACTGCTGTGTTCATCAAGGGACAGTTCACTGTCAGAATCAGAATCACGCTCTGTGGACAAAAATAACCGCTCAGCCAGTGAAATGAGCTGCGACAAATGTAATTGAATTTTGCCATAGATTTTCCACAACTACATTTTACTATAGGCAGCAATACAGCCAAGTGGGGTGATAAGAGATAAGATAAGATACTAGAAAGCTGCAGTGTGAGTAAAACTTAACATTGGTAGCTAATTTCTCTTTATGCATAATTGCCTGGGTTTGTTTTTTTTTCAAGAAAAAGGTAGTTCTTGGACTCCTTTAGCCATAACTGTTTTTTTTTTAGTGTGGCAGTAATAAGCATTTGTGGTAGATGGGGTCAGCTGAACATGTAAGCCTTCAATCCCCAAATCATCATGAAGACACAGGAGAGTCACCTATTGTGAGGTTCCACTGGTGAGGGAAGACTTAGATCTGGGTTGTCCTAGTCCTACTCCATCATCTTAACAACTATACCAAATAAAAACCCAGATGTCCATAAGCCAAATCCAAATGCTTTGCATTTTCTCTCTCCTTCTAATGGGTCCTAACGATAATGACAGAAGATGTAAATTGTTGTAATATATAGTAAGCTGGCTGGAAGGATGTCTTCCAGCACGTGCTCTGCAAATAATAGCTAATAATAGCTAAAGGATCAAGGGGAGCCACATTCAAATGCTTGCTAAATCAGGATCACTAACTTAAAATACATGGTCCAAACTCTTTGGATTTTCACTGAGCATTTTAATTATTTTTTTTCTCCTTTGAAACCAATGATCTACTTCTGTTTTCCTCATTGGTATGGCCTTACCTTTCCTACTGTTAAAATCTCTGATTTGCTAAGATGGTCAAAACAGTTGCAAAACAAATGTAAGCTATCTGTACTCCATGGGTCTACTCTAGCTGATGGTACTTGATAATTAAGCCACCATCCTGTGCTTTTTAGTTTGAACCAGGTTAATAAAACTGAAGTAGGAAATATGGCCCTGAAAAATAGAAAAAAAAGTATTATTGAAATCCCGTGGATTTTGTATTTCTCTTACCATTGGATTTTGATGGCTTCCTTTGAAAGATGGAGGAATCTCCTTCAGGATTACCAGCTCTTGCTTGACTTGATATGCTATGTTTCTGGGCAGCTTCATCTCTACTAAATCAAATAAGTATATAAATAAATCTTTCTAAATCAATGCTTAAAAATATTAAGCAAAACTAGAAATTATAGCATATTTTGTCATATGAGCCGAGGTGGCGCAGCAGTTAGAGTGGAGTATTGCAGGCCACTTTAGCTGACTGTGTTCAGCAGGTCAGCGGTTCAAATCTCACCGGCTCAAGGTTGACTCAGCCTTCCATCCTTCCGGGGTAGGTAAAATGAGGACCCAGATTGTTGGGGGCAATGTAAATATATATATATACATTGCTTACCGGTGTACACCGCTTAGAGAGTGCTTGCACTTAAAGCGGTATATAAGTCTCATAAATAAAATAAATAAATAAATAAATAAATATGGTTGTAAGGTGGAAAGTGGAATAAGAGAACTATTGTTCATCGCCGTTCTTTGTCTGATCAAACTGCATGGCACTTGCAAGAGGACAAAGAAAAGATACTCCATAAGAACAAATCTTTCTTTGCAGTTTGCAGAGACACGAGGCAAGGACAATTTGTGCAAAAGGGAGAACACATTATTTTGTTTGCCGAATGGGCAAGGAGTCATTTTATTCATTAAAAAAAAGAAAAAAAAGAAAAGAAAAGGAAATCTGGAAAACCATGCAGCATCACCTGATTACTGAGGATAGAAGCAAGTTAGTTATTGTGATTGTTGGCTGACCTGACGGTGCTTTCTAGGGAGACGGTGGATTCCCCAAGTGTGGTTCGATACATGTTTGGTTCTTCAGTATACGTATCATTGCAATTCAGAGACCGCTGAGAGAGAGAGAAACAGGGAGAAAGAAAATGTAGGAAATTAGCTGGAAAGCAAGGTTACTAAAAACAGATTAAATAGATAATATTTAAAAGTAAGAGTTATGTTTACAGGTAGGTTGTGATCAGTGCAACTTTGAATAGTGTGATGTTCGATTTAGGGCAAATTATAAATTAATAGTAGGTTGCATTTAATGCAAGCAAAAATTCAGTTAGTCGAGGAAAGCACAAAAACTAAGAGGCTCATTTTAAAGAGTTACAGCAAAACACAGGAGAGAACAGATATGCCTTGGATATGGGCTGATCCTGTTTTATTAGCTTACAACAGTTCCTTTAGTGCCGTTCGAAATTACAACGGCACTGAAAAAAGTGACTTATGGCCATTTTTCACACTTATGACCGTTGCAGCATCCCCAGGGTCACATGATCACAATTCAGACACTTGGCAACTGACTCATATTTATGACGGTGATGGTGTCCTGGGGTCATGTGATCTCCTTTTGCAACCTTCTGCCAAGCAAAGTCAATGGGGGAAGCCAGATTCACTTAGCTCCTGTATTACTAACTTAACAACTGCAGTGGTTCGCTTAACAACCGGGGCAAAAAAGTTCGTAAAATGGAGCAAAATTCATTTAACAAATGAATCTCGCTTAACAACAGAAATTTTGAGTGAATTGAGGTTGTAAGCCGAGGACTCCCTGTATTTTACTAAAAAGCATATACGATTTTTAATTTAAAAAATTTAATTGCCTATTTCCATCATACTAGAACCAATTATCCTATTTTTCTACGTAACTTTGAATAGTGAAAATTCCAATAATGTGACCATTTCCTGGGATTCATTAACCATACAGATCAAGTCCTACCTGTACAATCATACATATATCTAAAGTTTTACTGGGTTATACGCTAAACATGGCTTTCTCCAAAGTCTTTTAGCATAAGAAACAAATCCCACGTGAAGCCATTCTTACTATCTTTCTTCCTACTTGCTTCTTTGTTTTCTTTGGGGAGGATGGGACACTCTAGATTAGGGGTCTTCAAAGTTGGCCCTTTTATAACTTGTGGACTTCAACTCCCAGAATTCCTCAGCCAGCATGCCTGGCTGAGGAATTCTGGGAGTTGAAGTCCACAAGTCATAAAAGGGCCAACTTTGAAGGCCTGTGATCTAGATTCTTGGCAATTTGAAATGGTACACCCCATAAAGTCTCACATTATGTAATGAACCACAGTCATGGCCCTAGTAATTAAGTGAGTCTTAAACTCTTTAAAGATAATCAGATTTTAGTTAAAAGAAGGATGAGCCTTACTAATCTTTTGCTTACCTCACACAATTTTGCTTTTAGGAAGCAAAGAGCTACCGGTACTTCAGTAAAACACTTCTAATAATAAAAGGAAACATTTTGCTTTCTAAAAAAAGGATTAAGAATAATCAAACTTTTCATTTCTATTTATAATGGTAAGACATTTGGTCCAATTAATTTCTTCTATCTGTACTGTAAGCAGGGCTATCCGATCCGAAGCTTAAAAAAAGAAGGTATACATGCATATCAACTACAAAAACATTTATATAATTTGCATATATATTATGTGAATTAATCAATGCAAATAAACATTATTTTTTACTCCAACAATCTCAGATTATATTGGAATAAATATATGTGGATCTGACTGGAGTAAATACAGAAATACGATTTGCATTTCTTTTTAGTTCTGTCTTTTATTTTATTTTGTTATACAATTATTGTTCTGTGGTTTGTACTTTATAGCTAATCAATAGATTATTACTAACAGCAGAGAGAATGCCTGCATTATTTGGGTCTCTACCATGAAAATACACAAACTACCTCTTAAGTCCCAAATTCCAGTATCTCTAAATCATTCAATGTGAAGTTACTCTTTCCACTTATTCGAATTAAGGCCTCACTCTGTCCTATCAATGCTTGCGCACAGCTTGTTCCTGCATGACACTTTCTATCATGTTTAATCTAGTAGTGCCAAAGACAGTGACAATAAATTCCTTGCCACTCTCCTCTTGCATTAATGGGAGATAGCATATTCTCCTCAATCCCAAAACATTTGCTGAACCAAACCATGGAAACTGCCTGAAGCTACCTTGTGATTAAGTCCCCCATGTGTTCACTGTGGCCTTCTCTTGATGTTTTGCCACCATTTGTGACCAAGACTGAATTTGGTTCAGAGCATGAACAAAAATAGGATCCAAGTCAAAATATATAGTCAGCTTGATTTTTAAGTTCTTTACACTTTAAATTCTTCCCAAATCCCACATAAATCAAGTCCTTCTGGCTGCCTGGCACACCCATTCTAAGGCCATTGTTCTTAGTTACAATTTCAATTAAATATATGTAATAAACCAGACCATTTGAACTGCCAATCAACAAGAGAACCAATCAGCTGCTCAGAATTTAAATATAGCTTCAAACAAACAACTAATTGCATGACCAACTGACCACACTGGCTCCTTATAAGCTAAGGTGAACAGGACAAGAAAATCCTGATGATGATGTTACCTAGTTTGGTAATGAAATGTTCAGAAACTATATTGAAACAAGCTTGGAGATCAAACCACTGCCAACATTAAAACCTGAGCTACAAATATTTTCAATTATTTCAATTAAAAATATCTGAGTCTCAAACTGAATTATCAAAGCTGAATGATTTTAGAGGGAGAAAAAGAAATATATAAAAGAGAATTCCAAACCAATCAATTTTAAGGGAAATGTCTATGCAAAGTAATTTCTCACAGTTAACAGGGTGGCTCTAGTTGTTGTGGAGTCATCTGGAAACGACTTTTTTCCATTGAATGTATTCTTCAAATGCTTCCTCACTTCCTTGTTGAATATACAGTGGAAAAAAAAGATGACCAGGCCCTAGATTGTTATGAGGGAGGAGAAGAATAAAATAATATGTAATTGTTTTATAAAGATAAACAAAGTGATTAGATGATAATTTTGTAAAGATGTTTCATGAAGACATTATGATAGTATATAACATATACTAAGAAACCAACATGCAAAGTATGATTTTATTATAGGAAATGTAGCTGCATAAAAGGACAAACCTAGGCAAAACTTAAAAAGGAAAAAAAAAGGAAAACATGAAAAAGACTTAAAGGTGTGAATGCAGTAGCATCTTTCTCATAGTGACTAGCTTTTAGAGCCATGTGTTTTATGACTCTGGAGTTAGTATAGTAAAAGCAAGTTAATGGGTGACTTCTATAGTGGAAAGCTGAAAAAATAACCTAAAAGAAGATAATGGCAAACCAGTTCTGTACTTTTGCTAAGAAAATAACACCGACTTGTTTTGTTCATTAAAAATTGGAGAAACATTAGAGCAAAATCAGGCATCAAAACTATTCCTTCATTATTCTGAAACAGCTGTGCATTTTAAAGAAGGCAACTCATTTATGGAGGCTGTCTCGATAAAATTTCCTGCTTTCCACTGAATAAAGTAAAATGAAAGTCATTTTGATTTGACATTTTCATGGTGAGCTCATCTTAAAAAAAACAAAGTCTGCTCCAACAAATAAATTATCAAGGCCCTTGAAAGAGATCAAAAAGCTTGCTGCTAAAACCAAATGATATAACCTACCTGTAAGCAGCTAAAGATAGCAAACAAGTAGTGAAAGGTCATTATGTCACTATTTACTGCCATCAGACCCAGTAACCAAGTTGCACTGACCAACAGGAGAAGGAAGAAGGCAGTCCTCAGTACAGAGCTAGATAAAAAGCACAATTAAGGTAATTGTTTTAAGGCATGAAATATAGCTGCCTCCTATATAGATTTCTGTTTCCGATCCATCCTGGGAAACAAAGCATTCTGGAATATCCCTGACTAAAATGTAGAAACAAAAATTTTTTTACTCTACTCAAAATTGGCCTAGTTTTGGGGTTTTTTTTGCAGCACATAAACCTTGTTCAGTCTTGTCCAAACAGGTGTCAGTAACTGAACTGTGACTTCTAAATAATAACCTCTTAAGCAGTTGTAAGTACCAGTGCCGATTATATCACATGGTAACCAGGTCTTTCCTTACCAGGTTGCATGAATCTACTAACCCACATCCATTCACATGGTGTCTTCCTCCTGATGGACAGCAATATGTACTATATAAGGCACTAGGCTTGAGCAAAGCATTAAAAACAATACTTCACAGCATCCCTTCTTGAAACGATGAGGCAGACCTATTAAGATTTGGATTTTCTGTTTTGAAATTGACTGTGTAAACATGTGCAGGCAAAGATACTTCCAGTGTGTTTGCACAAATGCGAAGAGACAACCTGCAAAAAACTTTGAAGTAACCATGACTCTTTTGGAGGACACATTTTGCTCTCAATAGTTTTAGGGGTTCATTGCAAAGCAATGCCTTAAATGAAGGGTCCCAACCTCTGGGCCTTGGCCTACTAGTGACCTGCGACGTGTTTGCAACTGGGCTGTGGAAACAGTGAGCGAGAGCACGACATCCCCACTTGCGTGAGCAGTGAGCAAGCACATGCACCAGTGGTGGGATTCAGCCAGTTTGCACCACTTCAGCAGACCCAGTAGTAATTTTTTGTTGCCCAGGCCGAGAATGGACTTCCGGAAGCAGCATCCACACAGAGAATTGGTTGTTCACATATTTGAATCCCACCACTGGCTTGCACGCATGCTCCATTTGCTTGAGCAGTGAGTATGTGTGCACACCGGTCACACAAATAGATCTACAGCTGCACATACATGCTTGCCAGCTACTCGTGCACAACCATCCACTCTCCCCCCCCCCCCCGCTGGTTTGCAAAACCGGAAATGTTGGGTAACTCTGCCTTAATGCTTTTTACAGACATATTGGGCACATCAGCACTGCCTTTCTAATTGAATTCAGAGACTTGCAATAATCTTTCAAGAACAAAGTAAGTTGCCTCCTTCGACTTCTTACTGCATCGTAAGATAACAGCAATATGTTAGCTAAAAGTAAAGAACGACAGAATAACCTTAGTTGTATGGTACCACTAATTATTTCTCCAGCTATTGATATATATTGAGAAAGGGGCTGTAGTAATATGATAAAACTTCAGCCTCGGGCTTAGAAAGTTCCAGATTTAATCTCTGGAAAGTCCAGATTGAACTAGGAAAACTCCTGCTGGAAAGCTGGAGTGGTCTATATGAACTCAGTTCAGTGGAAAGTAAAATGGAACTTAGCAGAAGGCAACTTCTTTGTACAGTGTCTGAGGACGTATCCTAAGTTGGTTAAAATTGGTAAAATCTTCAGAATAAATGAGAAAGAAGTATACTGATGCCATCAGAAAGAAGATCTAAAATATCAAACAAAGAGCTACTTGTGTATATTGGTATCTTTATCCAACAGAATCTGGCTGTTCCTTCAGTCCCAAAATCCTATTAAGACTCTACAAAATAATCTACTGCAGGGAGGTATTGGAGTGTAGTTTTCTGTGAATACTTTCTGCAGAAAAATTTGGATATGATTTTTTTTTTAAAAAGTGCTGATTTGATCTCAGAATTATTTAAAATGAATTTCAAAATTGAGAATACATACTATCTAAGGGAAAGGGAAGTTCGGGTCTAAAGTAATCCTTATTCTTTATATCTTTCACAGATGTTTTAGCAAGCAGATCACTATAATTCTATTATGCAAAAAACTATTTTATGAATAAAATAACAAAATAAATAACAAATAAAATAACAAAAACTGGAATGTAGAAATGAGATGTGAAGGAAGTAATGCAAATGAGATTAAATGGCACACAAATAGAGATCCTCCAGTCTTGATACCATCTTCTTAAGTCTCAATAAACCGCTAAGAATTATTCTCTTAACAAATATGTCACATTATCTCTGTTCAAGATAATTTCCTTTCTACCCAAATTATAAACTTACATGATACCAGTTTTCTCCAGTGAACGCTGCCTTCGTTTACATGATGCTTTCACTGCTAAGACGAAGATTACAATGTTGATCTTGAAGAGAAAAACACACAAAAGTCAGAACAGCATTTTCTATTTTATGGGTACACTGTGTATGTGTGGAGGCGTGAACAAAAAAAAAAGAATTACACTACTGGGAATCTTTTTGTACTTATATTTGTATTTATATTATCCCTCCACAGAGTTCTAAGTAGCTCAACTAAACTAACAATAAAAAGTATTACCACAGAGCACAAAATATAAACCCCCAAACAGTAACAGAATAATATAACAGCAACAAACAGAATGTATAAAGTATTTAAGCAGCAAGAAAAAATATACATGGAAAACCCTCTGAAAACATAAGGAATGGGATGGAAATTGTTAGAAAGACAAATGAGAAAAACTATATCGATAATGAGCTAAAGAACTGTGTAGTACTAAAGTAAGCTTATGGGCATACAGTGTATTGATCATTAAAGCCTTAAATGCCTGAGGGTCTAACCATCTGTAGGGCCACCTCTCTTGTTTCAATCCTGTCTGACTGATAAAATTTAGAGGTGAGAGACCCTTTTGAAGACACCCCCCACTATCAGAATGCAGAATAACGGAGACCGAAGGGACTGTTCTGGCAGGAGACCCTATACAATTTCAGACAAATGGCTGTCCAAACTTAAACATCTCCAGTGATGGAACACCCATGTGTTTCTTCCATCAGGTTTTTGGTAATGAATGATGTTATCACTTTTATTGTTAATTGTAGTATGAGGATTTAACTTTTTATAGTTCTCTTTTTAAATTTTGAGTATTTACCAGCGTACAAAGATGGGTATAAATCAAATAAAAAGGAAACATGTACAACCCTCTTGTTTTAAGACATTTATATACAGCTCATCCAGCGTGGTTTTAACTTATTTGGGCTGTCTGCTCTGCAGCCTAATGAATTTTTGGAGAGATTCATTAGTTATAACTCTAGGGAAAACCTTTTTTTTAACCCAATACTTTTTAAACTTCAAAAGCTTAGAGTTTTTAAAAGTTTTAATTTCCCTTCAGTGAGACCAGGGAAAAGAAACTTCAAAAGGAGGGTGCATAGCTCTTAAATATGTCAAAATATTAAAATTTTATGTAGAGAAAGGTGGCCATATTTCAAATTTAAGGATTGTATAACCTTCAGGTTTCACTATATTTAAAATCACATTTATATTCTTGTCAGTAAAAGACATGCACATAATTCAACTCAAAGAAGACCTGTCTTTTAACAAACAATAGTAATGTTTGGGGAAATAAAGGAAATTTGTCATTAATCACATTGCTGCTGGCAAGGTGGGTGGACTCAGTTACAGTACCAATAAGCACACTATTAGAAAACCTGAAAGACAAGATTAGGGACAGATCTTCATGAAGAAAATCTATCTATGCGGCTACTAAGAGTTGAAAACTACTTGATGGCACCTAATCAATCAATCACTTAAACAAATTGCTGTTGAGACATTTTATACCGCTGTTAGATATAAATTCTTATTTATATTTTGTATAAGAATCTAAAGAGAGGGTTCGCTCACACTCAGTTGTTCATTCTCTCTATGCTATCAGTTACCTTGTTCTATTAGAGGGCTACACCACTGCAGAATCAACAATACTTACGGCCACAACTATTACAATGGGACCAGCAAAGCTCCAAATCAGGGTGTCATAAATAGAAAGCCAACAAAAATCTTGGTTTCCATATCCCTGAGGATCTAAACCAACAGCAAGACCTGTATTGCAATACAAAAACAGAGAGAAACTCAGTGTATGGAGTCCTTTGAAGCATTAATTCACCTTAAGAAGTATTTTTAAAAAAATATCTAAGAAGAGCAAGAGGATTCCTTATTTTTGCTGTTTTTTTGGCAGAAGCAAACCTCTGTCTATGCCATTTAATTTTTATTGAATTAAAATGAGATGTGTTTCAACCCTCAAGTATGAAATCAACACTTTAGGAAAGGTATGATGGAATAATAGAGTTGGACGAGATCTTGGAGGTCTTCTAGTCCAACCCCCTGCTCGAGCAGGATTAATTCTGGATTAATGGCTGTCCATTAATAAACCTCTACATGAACCTTTTAGAGACTGAGTGCCCAAACTGCAACCCAAAACCCACTTATGCATCGTTGAGTGCCGGGTGGGCTTGGCCCATTGGATGGGTGTGGCTGCAGTGGTAACGACAGACTGGGTGGGACTAAAAATTTCAATCAATCAATTCCAACTTTGCAAGATCTTTTTTTTCCTCAAGAAGTTGAAATTGACTGATTGAACCTTTTTTTTTTTTTTTTGTATACGGCAGCGGAGGCCTAAAGCAAAAAGGTTTTATAAAACTCAGCTGAAGGCCTAGGACTGGGGCGACAGCATGCGTGCCCACAGAGAGGGCTCTGAGTGCCGCCTCTGGCAACTGTGCCATAGGTTCGCCACCACTGCTTCTAGTGGATGGAGAGCCCAAGTTAATTGTTCTCACTGTCAGGAATTTTTCCTTAGTTAATAATAATAATAATAATAATGATGATGATGATGATGATGTTGGAAGGGACCTTGGAGGTCATCTGGTCCAACCCCCTGCTCAGGCAGGAAACCCTATACTATTTCAGACAAATGGCTGTCCAGTCTCTTCTTAAAAACTTCCAGTGTTGGAGCATTCACCACCTCTGGAGGCAAGTTGTTCCACTGGTTAATTGTTCTAACTGTCAGGAGGTTTCTCCTTAATTCTAGGTTGCTTCTCTCCTTGATTAGTTTCCATCTGTTGCTTCTTGTCCTGCCTTCAGGAGCCTTGGAAAATAGCTTTCTCGGTACTTACTATGTTCTATATACTTACTGCAAGAATTTTAAACCCCACTCCCACCAAGCACATATCTCTATCCTTTGAGCTTTCATATTCTCACCCTTGATGATGTTCTAAGCTTGCCAGCCATCACAAAAAACTCCATGCCAACTTTCTCTAGCCAATTACCCTCCAGATTTGATAGTTCGCATCTCCCTTAGTCACTAGCATTCAAATACTGAGTTACTCTGCAATCTATTACAAGATTTTTGACTATTTTGGGCATCAGAGCAGCCTACCCTGTTGATAGAAGAGTGTATACAGGTAGTCCTCGACTTACAACAGTTCATTTAGAGACCATTCAAAGTTACAATGGCCCTGAATAAAGTGACTTATGACCATTTTTCACCGTTACGCCTTTTGCAGCATCGCCATGATCACATGATCTAAATTCATACTTATGACAGTTGCGGTGTCCCAGGATCACCTTTTGTGACCATCTGACAAGCCAAGTCAATGGGGAAGTCAGATTCATTTAAGAGCCAGGTTACTAACTTAACAATTTCAGTGATTCACTTAATGGTGGCAAGAAATGTCATAAAATGAGGCAAAATTCACTTTAAAAATGTCTCACCTAACAACATAAACTTTGGTCGTAAGTCGAGGACTACCTGTATAGTATAACTAATTAGTATGCCAAATATTGCCAAGGAGAGCAGGGGGCTGGACTAGAAGACCTCCAAGGTCCCTTCCAGCTCTATTCTATTCTATTCTATTCTATTCTATTCTATTCTATTCTATTCTATTCTATTCTATTCTATGCTATGCTATGCTATTCTATGCTATGCTATGCTATTCTAAATTTATATCCATAGCTACCCATACATGTATTTGCAATGCCACACGCATCTGTTCTTAATATTGCTCTGCTTTAAGAAGCATTTAGTAGCTAAAGAACCTTTTCATACACATCACACAGGCAATCTGCTTCTTTACACAATACCTTAGAGCATCACAGAATATTTTTTATTTGAAACTTTTAGATGGCCAATACAAATGGAATGAACCTGCTCACAGAATAAGGCACTTGTAGTTCTTGTACTTTCATATGTTTATATTCTATGTTAAATCTGGGTCAATGTTGCAAAACAGATGGATATAAGCTTTAACTCTGAAAAATCTCAAAAGCTTGTGAAACTATATAAAGATGTTTATATAACGAAAAGAAGTAAATCGTTCCAGAAATTTATGTGAACAAATAACCACTGTTAAAACCATAATGAAGGTACAGGTAGTCTTTGGCTTATGACACAATCGACCCAAAATTTCTGTTGCTAAATGAAACATTTGTTAAGTGAGTTTGTCCCATTTTATGACCTTCCTTGCCACACTTTTTAAGTGAATTACACTTGTTGTTAAATTAGACAAACTGTTGTGAATCTGGCTTCCCCACTGGCTTTGCTTGTCAGAAAGTCAAACAAGGGGATCATGTCACCCTACGATACTGCAACCGTCATAAATATGAGTCAATTACCAAGTGTCTGAATTTTGTGACATAAGTTAAATGTGAAAACTGGTCATAAATTACTTTTTCCAGTGCCGTTGTAACTTTGAACGGTCACTAAACAAACTGTTGTAAGTCAAGGACTACCTGTAATGGGAAAACTTAATATGTGCTTTTTTTTTTTTTTTTAAAAAAAGTTACTTTTCTAAAGGAATCCATCTACAGAGAAACAAAACTGCTTAGAAATTACTATAGACTCACTAGCATGTGTTCCCATTGCCTGAGCCACTTAAAACATGCTGGAGGATACTTAGAAAAAAAGACATAAAAGTCTTCCAACATTTTCTTCTTTTTCTCCTTTATCTGTCTTATAATAAACTATTAAAAAATGCTTGAATGCTTCATTCATCCAGTTTATTCTGCGTAAAATGCTACTTGTTTTATCATGGAACTTTTTCATCTTTGAAAAAACTGCATTTTCTCATTCTTAGTTGTTGCAGATTGCTGAAGATTTTAGTTGCTTTTGTTGTTGAAAATATTATAAAGCAACCAAATATTATAAAGTATGAAAATTGGTGGAGAGAAATCTATATCCTCTCAAATGTTTTTCTAGCATGTCAGCTACAAAAAGAGAACAATTTTCAAGAATATTAATAGTCCTTCTCTCAATATCATGCCGGGAGCACATGATCTTACCTTGTATCTCATTCCATGCCATGCCATGCTATAATCCTGCATGTTATTTATAATTGATATTCTGTTTCAAACTATTAAATATTATACAACCAAACATATAGAGTGAAGCAAACCAAGTTCTAATTCCTAAGCAAACAATTATAATCCTTTTTTAATATGCAGATGTATTAGATGTGAAAAGCTGATAAGTTCCTGTTCTGCTATCTTTCAACTATAATTTCAAGGAAAAAAAACTTTCATGACATACTGTACAATTATTACTATTTCTCACTATGTAAAATACGATGAAGAATCCTTCATTCTTTCTCTGCATAGAGTGTAATAGAAAGAATACTTCTATGCAACGTAAATGGATGAAAATACAACAGAAGATTGGGTACAATGATCAAGGAATTATGGTTTGCATTTTTTGCTTTCACTTTTTTAATTTAGCAAGTCTCATCAAGCTGGGATCAACTTAGTGACTATCTGGACAAATGTTCACCATCACATAGTTCTTCCTCAGTTATTTGAGTAATCTCCTTGATGCTCTCCATCTACTGTTATCTGCAGTTTTCCCTCCTTCTACTGTACTTTCTTCAACCTTGCAAACGTAACTATTTTTTCTAGTCCATCATCTTCTCACAGCCGTTCCCAAAGTTTGTGAGCTTCTATTTGCTGTTCATCATTTCAGCCAGCATTTATTTAGTCCAGGACTGATGGAATGGTCCTGTTTACAATCCGCTGTATTGTTTAATAATGTTTGTAAGACAGTCTTGATTATTAGGCTGCAATATTTAAGACTGCAAAAATTGAGTTGCTGGGGAATTACTCTCTGATGCAAATAGCAGGGTATGATCCTTCAGACGTTACTTGAATCTCTTACAGTCATACCATGTCACTTCCAAAAGTGACATCATCGCTTACCAGCAATTAGAACATACAACTGTGATGGAAAATACTTTAGATCTGATACTGAATATATTTTCATTCATTTGAGACACTGCATTTATTCAGAATATCTTTGGATCATCATGTTTAAATATTTTCTCTTAGAAGTCATTCAAATATTTTTTTAAGTCACTATGTTTAACTTCTAGTTTAATGTACATCTGATGGGAATGGCGATTTTTTTTTGCTGCCAAAAAGTAAGCAGCATTTAAAACCAGAATATTAATTTTGTATATTTTTCAATTTTCTCTAACTTAAGGTAGTATTTTCACAACTTCAAGTAGAAACCTTTTAAATGTCTGCCAACTTCACAACTAACAACAACAATATAAAACTTTCCCCAATTTCCAGTTACCAAGAAATTCTGGGAGGACGTTATGGCAGTCATAAGAATAAACCAAAGTTCATAGGCCAAGTATGTCCCTTTCTTACCTGTTATAATGGCAGGAATCCCCCAGCCCATAACGTAATAGAACCTCATGTGCCCAAAATTGATGTTTCTCACTTCAGTCAGCATGCGGTAAATATGAAGCTGCTCAACAAACATCCAAGCAAATGTGCTCATGTAGAAGTAATGCAAAAGAATGGCTATTACCGTGCACACAAACTAGAAAAAGAAAGAATCCAGATCAATTAGAACTGCCTCTACCAAGCCACCATACTTTTTAACATAATTATTAATGTTTGGTTATATGTAAGAAGTGAACATTCATAAAAGTTGCAATCCAAATATTTACTGTTTTGTGCATGACAACTGACCCCTTTTTTCTGACAGCTATACTATCTTCTGTGATACTAAGTCATCCTACACTAGATCAAATGTTCACATGGTCCAGCATCTCATTTTAAACAAGTCTAGTCAGATGTTTCTGAGTCTCCAAAGAAAAGTTAGGAGAATCATCATCCTATGTTGTTGTTCTCTAGAAACATATTTTCTCTTAATTTATAGCAGTGATCCCCAACATTTCTGGCACCAGGGATCGGTTTTGTGGAAGACAATTTTTCAATGGACGGGGGGGGGGGGAATGATTTCACACATAACCTAGATAGAATAGAATAAAAACTTTATTGTCACTTTAAATGTACACTAATCAGCAAACATTAAAATGAAATTTCGTTGCCTTCAGCTCTCAAAAAAATTCCATTATGCATATACCCACATACATACACATATGTGACACAAAGAAACATGTCTAGTTCAAATCTATACATATACATGGTAAAAAAAGAGAATCCTGCGAATTTACAAGATGGATGACATAAGGAACAAAGCTGTTACAGAATCTTGTAGTTCTGCTATAAATACTTTGAAACCTCCTCCTAGAGGGGAGCAACAGAAACAGACTATGACGTGGGTGTGTGGGGTCTCTAACAATGCTTCGAGCTCTAAGCATGTAGTGCTTATAAGCAGTATCCTGAAATAGATCTCACAAATGTACAGATAAAGCTTCGCTTGCTTGCCCACTGCTTGTGAGGCCCAGTTCCCAACACACCCTGGACCAATACCAGTCCATGGCCCAGAGGCTGGGGACCCCTGATTTATAGCAACTTATAATCATCTGTACATTCATAATTTTGGAAAACACGATCTCTAAGATCCCTTAGATCTGCAAAAGAAAGAAAGAAAAAAGAAAGAAAGAAAGAAAGAAAGAAAGAAAGAAAGAAAGAAAGAAAGAAAGAAAGAAAGAAACCCATTTTATGAACTCCTGGGGCAACATGTGACCAATTTTAACTATAATGCATTAAAGCAACCTGATGTCAAACAAGTCAATAAAACTAACTTGTATTGAGAAATCATGATTAAGATTGTGCAGTTTGAAGATTTTATCTGGCCGTACACTGGTTAACAGGAAATGGAAATGGTAATTTTTGGTCTACTTATGGCCCCACAAGACCTCTTTTTGTTTCAGAACACAACCTCACTCTCCTATGTTAAATTACGAAAAAAGTTAAATTACTTGTTCATTTAATCAAGACTTCAGGAAAGACCTGGCAGTTTTACATTCACAATTTAAAAGCTAAACTTGGCAACTTTAAGCCCTCCCTGTAAAGGCTTTAGTCTCATAATTCTGAGTATTTATTTTGCATGTGTCTCTGCATAGGTCATAATAATGCAAACTGCTTATTTCAGATATGCAACAATGAAAATAAAGAATTTTGTCACTCAGTCATCCACGCATGACTGAAACCTCACCCAATCATGTGATCCCTGCCTTACAAAAATTAATAAAAATGAAATGAAATGTCAAGTGTTTTCCTACATTCTTGGATTTTTCATGCTCATTAGTGTGTGACTGCTAAGATTATTCTTATTCAAAAACTGTCTGAAAGACATACTCAGCATATCTCACTACAATTCAAGGCGTGACCCTTTCTGAATGATTTCCGGCTTGCTCAAGTAAAATGTTTAAGAAATGGCTTAAGATGTGGCAGTATATTTTTGTTAATTAATTCATGATTAGCTCTTGTTTTCAAGCTTATAAAAGACATACATTTCTGAACAACGCTCTGAATTATTAAATGAATAATTTAAAGGATTTGGTATGGGATGAATTTAAAAGGACATTAATTTGAAAAAAAAATTCTTATCATAAAGTCCTTAGAAGTGCAAAGCCTGCTAGTACAATATAAAGAAGTAGAGCTAAAGAGTTTAATACATTTCATTGAGATAAAGTCCCCAAAGTCTTCTCAGAATGGTTGGGTTAAAGGTTTTATCAGCAAGCCAACTCAGTTCTTCACCTCTACTCTGCCCTCCCCCAAGGTCCTGGTCTACTCATTTTTTAAGTGCAGCCATTATATGCCTTGTAAAGCTTTGTGTGGCCTTTAAGCCAATGGAAGAAAATGCCTGTGCTGAGTTTTCTATCTGCCATTTGGGTATGGGGTGATGCCCATCCTTATCTTAAATTTATGTTTTCAGAAGCAATTCCCAAGCCAACTATCAGCAGCATCAATATGGTGAGGGAAATATCAGTGCCCTTTGTCCTCTGAATATTTCCTTCATTTTTGTTATTAGATTCCCCCCCCCAAAAAAATAATATTAAAAGCCTGAAACAGAAAATGTGGTTAGGTTGATACAGTATTTTTCTTCTAATTTCTTTGGATCCTGCTCCTGGGGCAACAAGTCACATATCAGAGACTAGAGGGACTTGAGGAGTGTCATGGGTTGTAGAGAATAAGGAATAAAACCTTGACAGAGATTTGCAGGAATAACGGGCCTGAAGTATTTTTAATTCCAGAACAAGATAAAATTTGGAAGTGGATCAGGATGTGACATCTCTAACTCACTAAACTATGAAGAAGGGGAGGATGAGATCCAACATAATCAGACTTCAAGATTGCCATTATAGCTAACTCAATAAAAGTAGTTTTCGCCTTCCTGTTAAGTTGATTTCCTGGGCTGGTCTACTTATTGGGGCTGACATGGCTTATTTTATTTCTGGCTGTTTGAGGAGAGCAGGGGATTTTAAGGGTGGAAATAGAGCAGTGTGACTCTCAGAGATCTTCCACTCCCATGCCGGCTTGTAAAATCTTGCCTTTTTCAGTGATGCTAACAGTCTGGGAGGCAAAATTATACCCTTCATGCCCTCTAACTTTATCCACCACTACTCTATAAGATCTACAAGAGTGAGAGAATGGCTTGATCAGGCAGATTTAGAGACCTCTCCTTGTCATTTGTTCCAACTGTGGCTGCACCCCATTTCTCCAAAGCTTTGTGAGTGACAGCAGGGGGGTTAGAAGAGCACTTTGCCTATAAATTCTTCAAATCTGGCACTTTGTTTATTAGACATCCTTCTCCAAGAAAGTGTGCATGAGACCACAGCAACAATCAATAAGTATCTTGCATCTGGCTAAATTCCATCGATTCTCTGACAAAAGTAGGTTGACCACACCAGTCTTTCTCTACCTGATGCTGTCCAGATGCACCAAGGCTATAACAAATTGAAAAATTAAAAGTTGTGAAGAGTTGGAAATGTATGCACAGCTTTGAGTCACAGTATACTTCTTTGTTTGAGGTATATTAATGTGAGAAAAGGCATGTTAGACAAAAGTCACTGAAATTAAGTCTTACTTGATTTTCTGTCTGATTGATTCCTATCAGGAAGACTAACTCTGAGCAGAACAGAGCAGCTACCAAGTTTTTGTGAATGCTATGCAGATTGGACCGCAATGTACGGATCAAGACCAGAAGTATGAAGGTCAGCAACAAAGCTACCAGAGAGATGGAAACTGTTGTGTAAGTGATGATCCTGAGAGGAAGTGCTTCACCATTCTGTAAAATAAAACCATCAGTTTGTTTATTACAGGCATAGACAGATAAAAAATATTCATTTGTCTTTATTCCCCTTCTAAGAGCTCAGTTATTAGTATACTTTTTAAATCAGCATTGATTTCTTAGTATATTCATTTGACTAAATGCTGTTGTATCTCAAATCTAGATTCTTTTAAGCAGTATGAAGGGCTGTCAATTACTAAGAATGTTTTAGTTAAAAAAAAACTTCAGGGAATATGTCAAGCAGTGAATTAATTCACTGACAAGTTTTTGTAGTGAAAGAAGACCACTGTTAAATGGATTTCAGTCCTTTTATTTGGTGTTTACATTTTCATTTCTGATTTATTGCTGCCTGAAATATATCCACATCAATAAGAGACTATTCTATGCCAGAAAGAAAAGCCTCAAGATGAAGCACAGTGAAGAGACTTCCAGAGATCTATGTCTTTGAAAGTGTATGTATAAAGAAGAATAACTTTTTTTTCTTTTTAAAGCACACAGATAACTCATAGGTTAAACTATTCAATTCCTGCAGGAACCCCCACCAGACGTTTTAAACTGTGCCCACTCGAGAGACATCATGACATCAGCATTTCTTTCCCTGCAAATCCACCCTCAATTTCCTCAGAAAAGGATGTCTGACTTTGGCAAGTTTCCATCTTTGAAATGGGAATGGCAACAACTCATTTTGTCATCTTATAGCAAGGATAAATATATTAAGCAATAGAGCAATTTGCAAACCAAAAGCACGATACAAAAAAATAAACTCGCATAGTTCTGAGTCCATTCTTTGCTTTGCAATCCATAGGCTGAGATGCAAGGTGCTGACGTCTTGGGGTAAGGCTAAGGGCATCTGTGTGAGGACCAGGCAAAAGATTCAAGATGGCAGAAGCACCCTTTTCATGTGTATGTCATGCGCATAAAAAGGGTGGGAGTTTAATCAGGTGGGTGCCATTTTGGATTTTTTGCCCCTCCCCTCCCCTCCCCATGGAAGCCCTGGGCCAATCAGTATCCTGCTTTCCTTGAGTCATTAACAGAAGAAATATAAACTGCTAAATAAGTAAATAATCAGCAAACCTTTCTTTTTTTTAAAAAAATAGCTCTTTTGACACCTTATATCAAATAAGGCTCAGATTTAAAACCGGCAAGAAATACAGGTAATCAGGAATTCATTAAAAATGACATTGTAGTAGGACTCCTGTATTATTCATGGTGGCCAATAATCAGGAATCTGATAGCATCTTTTCAGACTAGCTAAGGCTGCAGCTCAGGGCATAATATTTATTAATCAAAAAAAGGTACTACCAGTTTCCTGATTTTTTTTTTAAAAATGACAGAAATTCTTTTTCTAAAAAAATGTTCATTGCATGGTGGTGAGAAAACAAAAGAAAATGAACCAAACAATAAATCCTCTCCTCTGTAAGCACTTTGTAGTTGAAGCAAAGTATTGCATGTTAAAGCACACTATTTTGATAAACTGGAAGGTAGCTTTTAAGTAAAAATAAAACACTAATTTAAAATGATCTCACTTGTTTTTTACTCTCATCAAACACCGTTTCATTACTGTAACAAACAAAATAATCACAAGGGAACTGCTTACTTCACGTTTTGAAATATCCATCAGGACTGCAAAACTGGTCATGTGGTTACATTGACAAATAACACGGTTTTGGCGCCGAGAAAACAGTTCACACCCTTTGGAAGACCAGCCTCCTGCTTCTCTAGTTCTGGTCAATAAAAGGGAAGGAAAAATCCAATTATATTTGTTATCTGACAGTCCAAACTGTTTCAGTGATGGATTGGAACTTAACTTCTCATTGCCCTCTCTCCTCACAAAACATAACAGATTTTTTTTTTAAATGCAGCTTTTATGAAAACCAGTGCTTTCAACATTAATCCCCCTTTCTCAAGAACAGCACCGATGGCCAGGAGCAGCAGGCTCATTAATGCAATGTCTGGCAATTGAAGTTGATGTTTGCAAACGTTGTTGTTTCTTTCGACTTTACTTCATCATGACCAATGACAAAATTACACACAGGCAGGATAAGCATGCAAGTAACCCATGATTATCACTTAGCTATCTCTTTGATCTTTAAGTAATAGTGAATCTTTTCCTGGTTAGAAAGCTATAATAAAATCAATTACTTTAAATCTCTCAGATTATTTGGTATGTATCTATTTTGATATCCAAGCATTGGTTGCAAGATATGGGTGCAGTGTTTCCCACATTTTCCAAGATGTTATTTTGATGGCTCATATCTATAAGAGCTGCAAGTTTTGCAAAAATAAATAATATCACGATCCATTGAAAAAGAAGCACAGAAGCTTTTTGATTTGATTAGCATTTGATTAGCTGATCCTGTTCCTGAGTGAAATTCAAAATACATAAAGTTCAGCTCTTAGAAAATTTTGGATCTGCTGTCAAGCCCTACATGGAATACTGAATACAGCAACAGTCAAGTCTCCTGAAAGGCAGTAGATTACATTTATTCCCTGGAAAATTGGGAGGGGGGAGCATGCACAGAACTAAAGAGGAAAGCAACAGAATTGATGAAAGAACAAAGAGAGCCCACCTACAAGCATAGAAACAGGAGGTGGAGATAATCTCTATCCAACTGTTATATTTGCAATTCAAAGAGGTATTAAGAACATAAACTGTGTTCTGCTGGATTAGACCCCTGGCCCACCTAGTCCAGCAGTCTGTTCTTATAGTGGCCAGCCAACTGAACAAGGAAGCCCACTAGTCTCCCACAGAGGGTCTTACAGGAGTATCTTTCTGCCATGCTTAATGGGCCATGAGAACATGTCCTCAGTCATAGTAGTTACATAAATCAGAGGTCCCCAACCTTTTGGGCACCAGGGACTGGTTACATGGAGAGAAGCTTTTCCGCGGACTGGAGGGGGCGTGATTTGTGTGCTGCCTGCATCCTGTGGATGGGGCTTTGCTTGTTTGTGCAGACTGGTTGCTGGCATGCCACGGCCTGGAACCGGTCCATGGACCGGGGGTTGGGGACCCCTGACATAAACACTCTTTTTTACTGAATATATTCCTGGATGGATAAACTATTCTTTCTTCACATGGGAATGGGTGACAGAATGGAAAGAAATCAGAGGTTCGGTGAAATTACTTTTATACCCACAATCACATCCTTTCTGTTTTTCATTGCAAACAGTAAAAATAGAGTGACAGAAGGCTACTGATTATTAACAGAATTGTTTTTGAGTCAATTTGATAACGCTTCAAAGATTGATAGTTCATGTTTTCTTAATGTTGAAAAAATCTTTTCTTTACAAAAAATTGAACTGCTTTCCTTTTAAACAGCTAACTTCTGTCTAGAAACCGTTCTCAAATAAATATGTTGTGTGAATTTGTCTAAAACAGCCATCTGTCTGCTTGAATACTGGAATACTTTATTAAAAGTATTGTTCCCTAAGCTTTTATTCCTAATCAGCAATAACAGCCAATGAAATTGTCACTGTTTTTTATACTATGCGGTCTACATAAAAAAGACCAAATTATTATTATTATTATGGAGAAAATCTATCTATATGATTGCTGAGAGCCTACATTGTGCTGATGGCACATAATTGATTGATCAATTATTATTATCCTTAAAATGCTCATCCACAATAACTGCCCACCGAAAGAGTGCAGATTGGAAAACATACGCAATTGAATGGTTCCAGAACACACAAACAGGCTTTGTTCTCTCCTCTGTATTCAGCATAACATGCTCAATCCTAATGGGGATGTCCAGTAGATTAGGCAAAGAATTTCCATCTCTATAAATGATTACGCTGGTTACTGGAGTATTAATGATGGGCCGGTTGGGTAACCTGGCAAAATAGAACAAAAGTATCATTACAGATGTACAAGAAAATATTTTATTGTTTTCAGAAGAGCATATTGCTTTAGGTTTAGGCAGGACTCAATACTGAATTCTCTTCTATGTGAAGACATCTAAAGGGACAGTTTAAGCAAGCACATTCATTGCCTGATAGTTTTAGCAAATGAGTGATGGATTTTATGTATTAGTGAGTCATCAGAAATTTTAAAAGCACTGACAGAACATGCCCAATATCCTCAACATAATGTGTCAGTTCACAAATTTAACTACGAGCCAAAAGATCATGAGAATGCAATTGAGTTCTGAATTGCTCCTATGAATCCTTGAGGTTCCAATTCTAAGATATAATTTTTAAACAAATAAATTCTATTTTTTTTCCAAACTGGTATCTATTTTATTGTGGGTTAGTTTCTAGGATCATCCAGGACAACCAAGAGAAATGTCAGCAATTAATTTTTCAGTAAATAAGATTAAATGTATAATACATGATTTTGTCATACATAATCACAATTGCCCAACCCAGAATTATTATTCAAGCATGTTAAAAGTATAAATTTTACCTTAAACTCCTTCGGTCAGGATCATAGTTCTCAGGCAGAAGATGTCCCAAGGTTCGATATATAATCACCATGCCAACAGCATGTAGGCTGGAATTCTCTGGATGCCGACGTTGTCTTTTGGCGTGTATATTTTTATTATTTACAATCTCATCCTCCATCTTCAATAACATTCCATAGTTTGAAGGCTTTATTGTAGGACCCACTAAAACATGATGCCAAATTATAGGTGTGAATTTATACAAAGCAGCAATGAGCAATTTCATGGTGTGAAGCGGCCATCCGACTGAGTATGATAGTCCTTGAAGTCCCTTCAAACTGTATTATTATATATGCTTAAAATATAATAAAGGAAGTGCATCATGTGGCTGCAAAAATGTTGCCTTTTCCTACATTATTGTTCTCATAATGATTAATTTTGATTATATTATTTTGTTAATGCTATTGAATCTATATTTTTTCTGTTAGTTAGTTTAGAGTAATATTTTTTTCAAAAAAATAAAAACAAAAACCTGGAAGTTATAAACCATTATGGGATAGTGGGAGAAACTAGAAGGAGAATACAGATGAAATAAATGTTTCACTTTGATTTTCAATTACAAATTCTCTGATTTTTGGTGCACCTGTTGAGCAAAATGAGAAAGAAGACACTACAGCAGGGGTGTCAAACTGGCAGCCCAAGGGGCGGATGCATCACGTGCAGGCCATGCCCAACCTGGCTCCACAAAGGCAAAAAAGCCACGATATGTCACAATACTTCACGTGAAGCGATCGAGTTTGACACTTGTGCACTATAGGATCTACTCTATTCAGTATAGTTTCAATTTTAGTTCTTTTTCTTTTTTATCATCCTTAAGTATGAAATCAAATTTTGCAGAGGAAAATGTTAGGAAAATATATTTTGTTATCAAGTATTAGTGTTGTGAACTTTGTCTCCTCTAAGTCATAGTTAATCTTTCTCAAGCAACAATTTAATAGTCGATCCGAACATTCTTATTATTCCATTCCAAAAACACATACATAAACCTTCTAAATCTCAGGATTTCTAAATATGCTTGTACTGAAATGCTTAGAATTCTCAACTGGGCAAAAATTATACTGTCTTGGAATTAAAGCTGCAATCCCAATAGATTTGGTGGGTAGAAGATTGAGAAGAACTACTCTAAAACAGCATCATACCTTTTGTGATAGAGGTTTTGAGCAAAGTTTCAGGAAACAAAACAGACGATTCCAAATCTTTTGGATACTCTTCTTTGATTGCACTAAAATGTGGTACTCTAGCTCCCGTAAAATTAGACTTTTCAAATATGTCAACAGCAATAACTAAAAGAAACAATACAAACAATGCAATAAACAATATAAACAAGAAAAGTCATAGCATAATCCATTTCTTTTATATTTGGTTTAAATAACCAAGTAATAGTTTAGTAAATTTAATGTTTTATTAGTTTTTTAAACCATAGAGATATTGGGGAAGTTTCATGATATTTATTGGATTATTTTTTTCAGAAAGGAAAGGATCAAAGCTGTAAAGAAGTGTGTGAAGATATAACACACCTGTCCATTTTGGTGGTGCCATATTCTGCAACAGAAACATAGTTAAGTATTTTTAAGAAGGCACTGAATATTTGACAACTTTAATTGATTTCTCAGAAAATCAGCCCCATGTTCTAGCATAGAAGTATGAAGAAGTTGCTGTATCAATTCAGACTACTTATTCATTGAATTTATATGGTTTCAGCAAGGTTCTCAGGACTGGAGACTTTCCCACTCCTACCTGAATACCATAGGTCAGGAATTGACCCCCAAAGTTTCTGCAGGCAATGCAAAGGTTCTACTGTTGGGCTTCAGTACATCTTGAAATACTGTTAAGTGTTTTTGTAGAGCAGTGATGTCAGTGAGAAATGTCTTTTGCAATAGGGATGTAGAAAAATAAATATACTTCAAGAGCAGGTGTCTTCTTTTGGCCTGGAGGCTGCGCTTTGAAGTGATTATGATGGATGACTGCCTCTAAAAGTTCCAAGATGAATGTCACAGTTTTGGAGGGAGTTAGGTGGTAATTTTAAGAATCCAAACTCATAGAGGCTCGACACATTTATTTTTGCCTTTCTTCCATGAAAAATACCACAAATCATTCTGATAAAACCCAGAAGCGTTTTTTACTGAATCGTGGAAGCTACAAATGGGAGGATTGCACGCAGTTTCCAAATCATAGGTTGCGCACCACAGGAATTGGGGCCATTTTAATTTCACAATTCAAACCAACTTTTCTTTCTGTCAACTAAGATAATGCAGCAGTGCATTTGTTGATTATAAATTACAACTGTCCTCTTGAAAATGTCAGTTTGTATTAAAATAGCTCATAACATATCTGAAATTGTACTGGTTAGAGTTAAATGAGGTATAGGAAAACTAAGGTTTAAATCCTATTTGAGCCATTTCATTTTCATTGAATGACCTTACGCCAGTCATTCTTCTACCTCCACATGGAAAATAGTAAAACCCCTGTCTAGAGTATACAAATTAGATTTATAACGCAGTATATTCCACAGATAAAATTAATACAAGATTGCATTCTAATTGAAATGGCTAGATGAGAGGAACTAAAACTGTACTTAGACAGAAGGAAGCCCCCTTAATTCATTAAAACTAAGTTCCTGAATAAACATTCCTAACTTCATTCTCAAAATAACTGGCAATTTTCTGACACTAAATGGGGCCAATTATCTGTCGACTGTGGCATTCACCCAGCCCTCTTATTTGTCTTCATGTATAAATACAGAAATTTAATGTCAAAACTAGCCCTGAATATTTTCTTCGGCTTCTTTTTTCTCGTTCTCATTTAATCTCCCTGTCAAATTCTTCAGCAGTTGCTGAATTCCCTGTCAGTAAGGCAATTCTTTGCTTATTGAATTTAGAGAGTGACATGTCTATTCCCTATTATCTTCCTTTTTTTTCATTTTCACACCAGGGTCCACAGCTGCTAGGGTGGAAATGGTAACGGTGTAGAAGAGACTGACAGGTTAGGAATCCCAGAGAGCTGTTGAATTTGACAAAGGGCTGAGTGATTCTGAAACATCAGACGACTAGGTACAGATAGTCTCCATTAAGCTACCCCACTTGGTTTCAGAAAGCCAAGCCAAGCAATCGCTAAACAAAACTGTGAAAATGTTTTCCTTTGCTTTACAGATCTGTGAAGACTATAAACAGGAGGACTGCTCAATTTTATTTTCATTTTATTGCTTTTTTATTTACTTTACTTAACGTTTTACATTTTGTCAAGACAAAACCTCTGGATTCAATGGAGAAATTGAATGTACAGCTATATCTGTCTTTTAGCAGCCCTCCTGTTCTTTTTCAAGTATGTTACATATACACACACACAAAATTATAAATACCGTACTTTCCGGCATATAAGACGACTTTCTAAAGCATTGAAATCGGCGCCGAAGTCAGGGGTCGTCTTATACGCCGAGTTGTCTTATACGCCAGAAATAATGGTAGTTTTCGGCGTATAAGATGACTTTCTAGGCATGCGACTCGGCGCTGAAGTTGGGGGGTCGTCTTATACGCCGGGTTGCCTTATACGCCGGAAAATACGGTATATATTATGTATGTATACACTATATGTTCTGTTATCACACACAAACATACACACACACAAACATATACATATATTACACAACACACTTATTTTTGAAACAGTCAATTTGCCTCATGAGAGAAGGAAAATGGAAATGCTTTTTTAAAGTGCTTCCTGGTCTCAGTAATTTCAAAGCAGGATATGAACTCTAGTCCTCAAGTTACAATTGTAACAGAGGCTGTCCACAATGATAGTAACTCTTGACAGTTGTAAATCAGGTTACCTATGTGACTGACTCAATTTTTTAAACTTTTTTGCAGCAGTTGTTAAGTGACGCAATGGTTCCCTATGAGAGCAGTTTTGCTGAAAACCAGAAGTAACTGCTATTTTTCAGCAAAATGTGGTCACGTGACTGCAGGGATGCTACAAAGGGTCCAGTTGCCAAGTATGGTCACATGACTGTGGGGGAGGGGAGGAAATTGTTGGAACTTCAAATCCAAGTCAAAGTACCGAGGGGGGGATTTCTGTCAGAACTCTGAATGGTTGATAAGCAATTGGTTGTAAGTCAAAGCCTACCTGTATTAAATTACGCTGCTTGCTAACTACAAGCAGTCTTAGGTTAATGACCATTCATTCAGCATCTGTTTTGAAGTTACCACAGCACTGAATGAGTGGTGGTGTATGAGGAAGTTACAAGACGTTACTTTTTTAACAAACTACAATTGCCACTTAACAACGGCAATGGAAACAGCAAAGAGATGCAGCCATGTGACAGTATGCTTTACAATTGCATTGCTTAGCAATGAAAATTCAGGTCCAATTGCCATAATAATTCGAGGATTATCTGTGCAGACATTTTTTAAAATTACTATTTAATTTTTAATATTGATCAATCAATTACTGCCCTAATAATACTTAAGTGTTAATTTTGAAAACTATAACCCAAATCCTTGGAAGGCTCTGGGCACTGAGGTGATGCTTTAAAACAGCGATTCTGAAACTTGACAAATTCAAGACATGTGGATTTCAACTCCCACAATTCCCCAGCCAGCACTATTGCCAATTTTTAGAAAAACTGCTTTAAGAAGTCATATCTGATAGGAAAATGACCACTAGAAGCAGGAACTTACTCATGTTTGCAGCAATGATAACAAAAGGTTTCATGTAGGTACTTTTCATGTTCTTTGCCAAATTGTGAAAATAATCTTCATAGTATTTCAGCAAGTGAGCTGTACCCCCTTCTGTCCTTTGGATGTGTTCCCAAAGGTCTTTTGTGCAAGGATCCAGTAAGGCACTTCCTGTTTTTATGATATTCTAGGAGAAGAAGAAAAATATGCTAAGGAAAAAAAATGTAACAATATCACACTTATGGTGGAAAGAAAGAAAAAAGAAAGAAATTGAACCTAATTGTAACCGAAATTCTGTATGCAGTCTAATGAAGCTTTTCTTAAACAAACGCAAACTATGATTATTTTATTTTTACCATTTTGCTCTTCAGTGACTTGTACATTTTTAATATATGTATGGTAATTTGGTTTTGCAACATTTATAATTTTATTAAAAAATATAACAATTTTAGAATTTTACACTGGATTATTGCTGTCGTCTGAGGATTTGATAACTCTCAAACTAATAAATAAATAAATAAACCATCTGTCGTTAGAATGGCTGTTGGAAAATGCTCCTGAGAATACAATAAATAGCCAAGAAAGCAAACAACGGGATTATCAAACAAATGAACCCACTTGAGGCGCAAATGACTAGCCTCAAATTATCCCACTTCAGTCACATTATGTCTTTGGAGAAGTCTCTAATGCTGGGAAGGAAAGAGAAGAGGATGACCAGCAAGATGGATGGACTCAATTAGAGCCAGTGATGGGTACACTGTTGGAAGAGCTGAGAGACCAGGTTGAGGGCAACCTTCATGCAGAAAAATCTATCTACGGTCTCTAAAAGTTGACACCAACCTGATGGCATATAATCAATCAATCATTACAGGTAATTCTCAATTTTACAATCACCAGTAGGTCAGAATTTGGGTCGTAAGCTGGGGCAGTCGGTCAGCAGATCACCATGTGACCTGACTTGATTTTACAACCATCTTTATGATAGTTGCAAGTCACAGTCATATGACCATAAGATGCTACAACTGGTCCTAAATATGAACTGGTTGCCAAGTGCCCAAAATGTAGTCATGTAACTGCTGGGTGTGGACATTTTAAGATGGTCAAATGTATTTTACAGGCTATAAAGCACCCTTCCCAAGGCTGTCCTCACTTCAAATGGATGTTAAGTGTCCAATCATTAAGTGAGGATTATCTTTAAAATGAAAAGGTTATTTTTAGAAATCCATGAAACACCAGCAGGGAGAAACCTAAAATAGCACTAACTTTTATCAGTGAATTGAGGTAGAAATCATTCTTAGCTAGCCTAGCTGAGTAACCATGAAAAAAACCAGTATTCTTTTGTATTAGAGTCAGATGGATTTGTATTTTCCAAGAACAGCATGCAATATAGTGAACATAATAATAAAACTCTTCTTATTTATATACTGGCGTGAATAATACAGCATCTCTTCATAAAACTACAAATCTCCCTATCAGTGCAGTTAGCCCTGCATAACACTGAAACACTGCATGAAGTAAGAGTTGCTTTTTCCTGAAACTATAATACGGAGTTTGTTGGCATTCATGCAAAAGTATAAACTGTAATTGGAACACAAGCTATTTTTCACTGTTTGGTATTTGATTTCTGTGAAAAGGCAAATTTTAAATTTTTTGTTTTGTTACCCAGCCATGATTTGGGCTATTTTTTTTTTTTACTATTTAAAAGAGGTTATTTAATATTAAGGGAATTTGGAAAAATACAACTAAAATAAATACAGTTTCTTCGGGAAAAAATTGTTTCGTTTTATTGCAATCTGATAATGCTAGAAAGGGCTTTAATTTGCACAGTTTATAAATGCGTAGAGAGGTCGGCACTGGAGGTATAGTCATATGATTATTATTTCACAATGAGTTAAACAAACCTCTCGTTACACAGTGACTTGGTTCTTTGGAAGATGAATTAGATTACTTTTTGGTGAATCTAAAGCACCTTCTTAGATTTCAAAAGCAGAATCTCTATGCTCTGTGGAATTCACTAGAACATTTTAATGCTGAGTATTAGCAACAGTGTGAGAAAAATTAGTCTATTTCCATTCTACAGTCTTCCTTCAAACATGCAAACATCATTCAGGGTTATATCTCACTTTCATTATGCTGGGGCTCTTACAGAGTAACACCTTGCAATGCACTTTAGCACAAAGCCATATAATCTAGGGCTCATCCCAAAAAAATGTCTGTTTTGGTACACAGGGTCTACCAGGTGAAAGAAGGAAATGATTCCAACATCCACTTCCCAATCACAGGTCTATCCTTTTTTTCTACCCCTTTTTTTCAGGACCAATTTATAAGAAATGCTACTTCAGCCCAGAAAACTTAACTAAAAATATGAGTATATTGCTCCATTGCACTACAGAGATTACAACAAGGATTCATCACTAAAAGCAACACACACAAAAAAATTAAAACCAAATACCTAGATTCTTTAAGAGATAGAGGTTTTTTTAATCAGCAGTTATTTTTAGTTGAACTGCTTTAGAAAGCTTTATCAGTTATGTGACATTTCTGCATGGCGAAACAAAAGACCTATTTAGGCCTTCTATTCTTCCATCAAGCCCCTAGAAGGGCTTGTCATATGGCCAGAGAACTGAAAAGGACTACTAGATAAATAATGTGCAATTTTATGCCTCATTTCAGAGTGTCCTCCTAAGAATTGCATTCCCACATTTCCTACTTCCCTAAGTGTCACATCCTTGTGTTTTTCATTATCAGTTCAACATTTCTTACCTCATTAAATTCCACATCCCTTGTTGCAGCCAAATCAAATCCCTGTTGCTGGCTCTCATACTGCAACACCCTGATCATCATCTGATAGGCTGTCCGCACATCATTTCCATAGAAGGAACTTGTGTGGTTTGTGGCATTTTGAAGCACTTTCACTATCTGCACTGACTTAGCACTGTCCATTTTTGTCTCATTGTGGAGAAATTTCTCATTCTGACAGAAACAGAAAATAAGGCCAAAAAATAAAAATTAGGAAACAGATTTCATTTACTCTTTGTTAAATCATTTGAAGGAGTGCCCAATTCATCATTTTAGATTCAATTTATCAGTTGGCTCAAGTGGTGAATAAATCTCTATGTCAGGGGTCCCCAAGCTTGGTAAGTTTAAGACCTGTGGACTTTAACTCCCAGAGTTCTCCAGCCAGCATAGCTGGCTGGGGAATTCTGGGAGTTGAAGTCCACAGGTCTTAAAGTTGCCAAGGTAGGGGGCCTCTGCTCTATGTGGCAGAATGATAGGCCCAATTGTAGGTTTGATTTACAGGTAAATATACTCTTTCAGTATATAAAGACTACCTGGTGCATGTGAACATCTTTTAAATATTTGGGCAGGATTTTGATGAGATGAACACTCTACTCAAGTTTGTCTGTCTATGTTTCTCTGCACATGCCCTGAAACAGCGATCTCCCACCTTTCCAGCTCTCTGGACTGGCAGTGGTGGCGTTGATGGCAGAGAGGGGATAATTTTGCACACACGCCGGCTGCTTACACAAACGACACTTTGCGCACTTGCGCTCTCACCCTCTGCTTGTGCTGAAAGATCATAAATACTGGTATTTTGTGGGTTCAGCAAAATTATAACAGTGTAATCTCACATAAGAGATTTGAGTGAGCAATGTACAAGCAGCTAGACATTTAGCTATGCACTTTGGGATGAACACCCTTTGAATGATGAGGGAGTATAAACGGATTCCTAAAAAAACATTGCAGACTGCAGGAATCATTTGCGCTTCAGTTTGAGATGCAGACAACACAGACTCATCCCCAACAGCCTGTGCCTGTCTTCAACAGCGAACGGACACAGAGCAGAGGACATCCTGCAGCCAAGAAGCCTCCACACTCATTTGCACTACTCAGGTGACCTTAAGGACACAGATAAACCTCCAAGTGGCCTCATCGACTTTCTAAAACAGGGGGTCTTCAAACATGGCCCTTTTATGACTTGTGGACTTCAACTCCCAGAATTCCTCAGCCAGGCATGTTGGCTGAGGAATTCTGGGAGTTGTAGTTCACAAGTCATAAAAGGGTCAGGTTTGAAGACCCTTGCTCTAAAAGAATGCAAATGACCAGCTGCCTGTAAGGAATATAAATCCTTCCATTCCCCACCCTCCAGTCAGAGCTGAAGAAGCTTCTTTGATGAGAAGCGAAACGTCTTCAGAGAAAAACAAGAAAGTCCAGTTACCTCCTGAAAAAACAGCTTTGGAACAACCATGACCTGGATGATTGAGAATCTCCACAGACAAGCAGTCCTCAAGTTACATCCACAACTGGGACTAGAATTTCCATGACTAAGCAAGGCAGTTATTAAATGAGTCACACCTGATTTTATGATCTTTTTTGACATGGTTATTAAGAAAATCACTGCACTTGTTATGTGAATCATATAGTTATTAAGTGAATCTGGCTTTCCCCATTGACTGTGATTGTCGGAAGCTGGCTGGGAAAGTCAGAAATGGAGATAATTTGACTCTGGAATTCTGTAATCATCATAAATACATGCAGGTTGCCCAAGTGTCCCGATTTTGATCACATGATTGTGGGGATGCTGCAATGGTCATAAATGTGAGGACTGGTCATAAGTAACATTTTTCAGTGCTATTGTACGTTTGGATGGTCACTAAGCAAATGGTTGTAAGTCAAGGACTACTTGTAAATGACACATTACAATGCCTCCAAAAATATTACAAATTTCTATGGAACAATTAATACCACGCTCAGTAGGTTACTCCACTCTTACCATGATTTTAAGAGTCACAAAGTCAACAGTGGTACAGTTAAAAAGTTCAGGGGAAAGCCAGCCTTTCTCACTGCTACAATGCCGAACAGCGTTTCCTTAAACAGAAAATCAATTAGTGAGAAATTCAAAAGTTTCACCATCGTGTTTAATTTATATGAATATTAACCTTCTACAACTTTTTACCTGACACAGTTTCTTAACAGGTGTACAATTATATGTAAGAAACACTTCTAATTATAATTTTTAAAAAAGGCATTTTACAGTAGAGTCATATGTCGATGGAGTTTGGTGGTGGTATTGGTGATAGTTTAAACCAGTTAAATGAGAGTCAATTTGGTCTAGTGCAGGGGTAGGCAACCTCGGCTCTTTTATGACTCGTAGACTTCAACTCCCAGAATTCTGGGAGTTGAAGTCCACGGGTCATAAAAGAGCCGAGGTTGCCTACCCCTGGTCTAGTGGCTAAGGCAGGGGTCTTCAAACTTGGCCCTTTTATGATTTGTGGACTTCAACTCCCAGAATTCCTCAGCCAGGCATGCTGGCTGAGGAATTCTGGGAGTTGAAGTCCACAAGTCATAAAAGGACCAGGTTTGAAGACCCCTGGGCTAAGGCAAAAGGTTAGAAAGCAAGAGACCATGACTTCAAGTCCCATTTAGCTCTGAAAGCCAGCTGGGTGACTTTGGACAAGTCACCTTCTCTCAGTCCAACTCACCTCACAGGGTTGTTGTGAGGAAAATAGGAGGAAGAAGGTGTGTTGGATATGTTTGCTGCCTTGCGCTATTTGTGAAAATAATATAGGTGGGATATAAATAAATGAAGAAATAAATAAATTATCAAAAGGTTTTCTATATATGTCATTATAAAACATGTCATTATGCTGCAGAATAAAAGTAAGAGGCGATTCGGATTATGTTTTTAAAAGTTTTGTTTTTCTCCTTACTCTTGTATTCCAACTATCTAATTTATATTTTGATTACTTTGTCTAAATGAGTTTTTTTTAGCATGTTCTTAACAGGTTCTGTCTGTGCGAAACAGACTTCCATCTGCAGGATTTCATAGACAACTCTCTTCCATATGTCAACCAACTTTTTTGAATCTTTATTTTTCCCAACATTTAACCTAGAATAATACTTGAGATATACTGTATAATAACAATTACTCACCCACTGATCCTTTAGGACATGGAACAGCAGCAGGTTGTCCAAACTTGGTTTGTGGCCACCAAATGCCAGCCTCAAAAGCTTTGGGACATCCATTGTAAACCACTACATGAGATTGAAGGGAAAGTTTTATATAGTAGTAAGAAGAAATAAGAATAATCACTATTCTTGTCTTGTTTAGAAAAATAAGAAGACTCATTAGACTAGAATGTCAGAATAGAGTTCTGCTTTTATGCTGGATGTTATTCATATTTGATCTAATCTTAGCTTTCCATTTTAACTGAGAAAATCAGACAAAGAAATAAAAATGTGTATAATCTTAAATTAATAATACCATTTGATTGAAAGATTCATTTGAAAAAGAAATAAAGAACAAAACAAAGAACTTTTTTTCTGCAAGGGTTCCAACAGAAAATTACCATTGTCTTTAATTTATTGTAATATACTGCTTAAACTGAGTTTGCCATGATTTTATACAATGAAAGCAAATCTCTCAAGGACAATCAGCCTATATTTATTCTGAAATTTAATTCTTTTCTATAAAATTGATTTATCTTCTCCCTTGCTGCTTCATTGAGAACTGAAGATAGCTAACAATGATTAAAATACAGAGAAATTTAAACCTCACATTAAAACAAAAATGTGAAATTGAAAGCTAGGCAAAACTATGTATCTTGAACTGCTTTTCTCAAATGGGGAAAAAAAATGTGCTGCAGAATCAACTCCTGAATCAATTATCCTTCAGTAAAATTTCTAAGGAGAATATAAAACTGAAAAAAAAACCTGCAACACATTTTAAGAGACAAGTAAAACAACCCACAGGGCTAGATAAAATGATGTCTCCTTGGCATTGGGAATAAAAAATAGATACAGGTAGTCCCCGATTTACAACAGTTCATTTAGTCACTGAAAAAAGTGACTTATGACCATTTTTCACAGTTACAATCTTTCCAGCAGCCCCATGATCATGTGATCAAAATTCAACTGCTTGGCAACTGGTTCCTATTTATGGCCGTTGCTGTGTCCCATGGGCCTTGTGATCCCCTTTTGCGACCTTCTGATGAGCAAAGTCAATGGGGGAGGCCAGTTTCACTTAACAACTGGGTTACTAACTTATCAATTGCAATGATTCACTTAACAACTGAGGCAAGAAAGGTCATAAAATGGGACAAAGTTAACTTAACAAATGTCTCATTTAACAACAGAAACTTGGGGCTCAGTTGTGGTTGTAAGTTGAGGATTACCGGTATAAGTAAAGGGCTATATCTAGTTTTTGCTCACATCTATGGCAGTCAATATTGCTCAAAATGGGGGTCAAGTTTTCCAATGCAGCAAATGGCAAACCAAGAAAATACCTTCACATCCATGAAGTGTAACTTCAGCAAAGGGATTGTCACAGCGATTGCACTGTCGTCCAATCACTCCTGATTTGCAGGGACATTGCCCAGTTTCCATGTCACAAGAGCGAGTATGGGAACCAGAAGGGAAACAATCACATGGATAACAGGAGTCACTGTTTTGTGGTCGGTAATAGTTTTTCTGGAAAGATGAAAACCCATCAGTCAGTCAAGGCTACCAGAAATACAATATTTTGAACCTAGGATTATAAAAAAAAAAACCTCAGGGATCCTGACTTTTTTTCCAGGAAAATGATACTTAAAATATATTTTTCATGTGCAGACATTGAACACAACAGCTGGACTTTCTCAAGTTTCAAAATGTAACATGGAAATAAAAATTGATAATTCTTATTCAGACAACTCCCAAATCTACCCTTATTTTTATTTAAACATAACTGTTAAAACTGAGTATATATATAAAAAAAGAATGTAGAGCAGTGGTTCTCAACCTTTCTAATGCCGTGACCCCATAATACAGTTCCCCATGTTGTGGTGACCCCCAACTACTTATACATCACTGGGTACCAGGGGCGTGGCCAAAGAAAAGGGGGAAAAATGGCGGACAGTCTTGTTTGGCGACCCCCGTGAAATGGTTGTTCGACCCCAAATGGGGTCCTGACCCACAGGTTGAGAACCACTGATGTAGAGGTTCTGAAGATGTACGGAGGTTTAAATTAAGTCTCATCAATACTATTCATTTCTGAATCACCTAAACAATCTGAAGTGTGATGGAAAGAATGATACATTCCTTACCTTACATCGACAGGCTCCATTTGTCTTATTGCAGTCAGGATCAAATCCTTTACTGATCTCACAATTACAGGGCCCACAAATAGGATTTCCCCACCAGCCTCTGGGACAAGGTAAATCAATTCTACAGAGGAATTGGAATGTTGACAGATGTAAGGATCACCAATCTCTTTCAAAATTATTTAAAGATAATAAAGGAAAAGATATTCTGTTTCACTGAAAATAGCAATGCATGTCTTGCCCTCTTAAGCTAACATTTCATAAATTCATATACTGTATGTGTGTGTGTGAATTTATAAAATATTATGCATGAAATAAAATAATACACACATAGACACCCACTTCAGGCTAAGTTCTCTGACTTCTGTAACAAATAACTTCTTAGAGAGGTTGTCAGGTGTGAACAACCAGACTCACACATGTAGAATTGAAACTAGCTACTTTATTGTTCAATACCTATTTTACAGGAATCCTCCCAAACTGGTACCTTGCCCCTGGGAAAGACTAGATAAAGGCAATGGCATTCAGGGGGGTGGATCAGACCTTGCCTTTTATGCCTATATAACAATTTCAGATTAATTCCCCATTTAACTCCTCCCCTGATTGGGACACTGCTCTCCAACATCAATTGTGTGATGGCACCTAGCCAACCACGACAGATCTCAGCAAGCTGAATAGGGCCAGACCTGGCTGGTACCTGAATGGAAAAACACAAGGTAATCCCAGGATTGTAGCTAGATTTGGAAGACAAACATACATCCCAGAAGAAGGCAAGAGCAAGCTATTTTTGTATTGTTGCCAAGAAGTCACTAGGAATTAAACTCAACATGGAAATTTCACAACGAAAAATACAACAGAAAGATACAAATTAAATATGAGCAACTAGATAAATTATCTCGCATATTTTGTTTGGAACAGAATGCTTTACTTTTGTGTATATTTGTGTGTGAGAGAGATTGTAGAGAGTACAGGTAGTCCTCAACTTATAACAATTCAATTAGTGACCGTTCAAAGTAACAATTAGTGAAATTAGTGACTTATGATCACCTTTCACACTTATGACCATTGCAGCAACCCCGTAGTCACGTGATTTACATTTGGATACTTGACAACTGACTCATATTTATGATAGTTGCAGCGTCCCAGAGGTCATGTGATCCTCTTTTGCGACCTTGTGACAAGCAAAGTCAATGGGGAAACCAGGTTCGCTTAACAACCGTGTTACTAATTTAACAACTACAGTAATTCACTTAACAAATGTGGCAAGAAAGGTCATAAAATGGGACAAAACTCACTTAACAAATTTCTCAGTTAGCAACATAAACTTTGGGCTCAATTGTGGTCATAAGGTGAGGACTACCTGTAGTCAGAAAGGAAAAGAACTAGCCCAAATCCTTTGCTTACTTGCTTTCACAGTACTGTCCATAATAGCTTTGTCCACATTCACAGGTATACCCATGGGAAGAGCTTGGTTTATGAATACAAGTAGAGACATGTTCACAGGGGTTCAGACTACAAACATCAATACAGTCTGTCCCAAAGTACCCTGAGAAGACAAAGTCACAGACACAAAGAAAACTGAGAACTTAGTAATGGTTCTAAAATTCTCAGAAATAAACAAAACTGGACACTAATAACACTTCTTGAATTATCAGGACACTTTTGTGTAGCCATCAGAAAGTCATTTCTGTTGAGAAAGAATGAAATCACATATAGTACATGATGATCCAATATTGTGCAGTCATGTATGGAAGCAACTTAAGTACTAGGTTGCTTAAGATATTAAAGGAACTAATTTAAAATATGTTTCTTGTTTTCTGAATGTTCAAAAAAAGGGGCTTAAGGATATGCCTAAAAAGTATCTCACAAATGGAAGTTGTTCCGAAGCTTAATCTCAGACAAAAAGGTTTGGAAATAATCTCTGTAGTAGCATAATACTAAGCATGTATTAACCCTATTAAATCTTACATTAAATATAATTATTGGGATTTACTTTTTAAGTAAATATGGCTTAACATGTCAGTTATGCAGTTTAAAGCTCAAAACAAAACTCAGTCTGGAAAAAAAACTGAATTATATAAAAGAGGCTAAAATATTTTTTTAAATTAAACTTTTTTTGAAGTTTAAGGGAATAACAATACCATTTTATATTTCAATCATATGTTTAATCTTGTGATCATATTCAATTGCCTACAAATTATCTATTTTCTTTTCCAACACTCTGTTATGTGGCAAGAAGTGGACATTGAAAATTCTTCAGATTAAAACAAATACAAATATAAATAAGAGATTCTAGAGTTTTTGTTCAGTTTTGATAGATATTGCAGCATTTTCTTCACTTCCCCAAAAGAATGAAAGAGTGAAAATGGTGATACTTGAGAAAGTAACAAGAGAGCCACAGAGTGTCATTCAAAACGGTCTGTGCAGGATCCCTGGCATGAGATTATAGGCAGCTGCCAAATTATAGGAAAACATTCTTAAACATGCAGTTCTATAAACTCCAGAACTCCAGGTATTATCACCAACTTGCTACAAGTCATAATTACCTGGGTCACAGATACATGAATAGCTGTCCCAGTCATCACTACAATAGCTGTGAAGGGGACAAGAGTTAGAATCACAAGGGTTGTCTATTTCACAGCCATCCTTGACGTTAATCTTGACTGCCTGTTTCATGTTCAATGTAGCAACATTTGTAGATGTTTCCCCCATCCTCACTCCCTGAAAAGAAGAAAAGAGATCAAAGGAATAACCCAACTAATTAATATATATATATATCACAATAAAAAGCTTAGGGTTATACTGCTATAGGAGAAAGAGAAACAATTTCACTCATTCCTTTGATGTAATCATAAAAAGATGTCGCAAACTTTCACTTCTATTTTTACTTGGTTAAGCGCATCTTGGTTAAGCCCAACACATTTATTTAACTATTTATTTACTAGATTTATAAGGCTGCCCAACTCAAAAAGTGTAACTCTAGTGGTGTATCACAGCTAAAAAACAAACAATAAACCAACTCCCATAACATTAAAACATACACAACATAAAAATATGAAGTCTTTAAAGTAGCAAACAGGAATCATAATAAAACAACCAATAGGGACTCCCGTTCAACTAATATCCAATGTCTGTGAACAAAGCTAGGTCTTCAGGGCTTTCCCTCAAACAAAGTTGGGGCTTGTAGCATTTGGGGTGGGAAGGGAAATTGTCCCACAACACTGGGACAGCCACTGAAAAGGTAAACTTTCTAAGTCCCCTAAAGCAGGGGTCCCCAACCTCCGGGAGGCGGCCTGCTACCAGTCCATGGGCCGTTTGGAACCAGGCCACATCCCCACTGGCGTGAGCAGCGGGCAAACATGTGTGCGTGCTCCATTTGCGCAAGCGGTGGGTGAGCGTACCCACCACTCGCACAAATGGAGCTGTCCACCACTGTTTGGAACCATCCCCTCTTCCCCCCCCCCACTGATGTGCAAAACCAGGAAAGTTGGGGAACCCTGCCACAAAGTGAAAAGATTTAAAAGCTGGAACCAGAGCATGCACTCCATGTACAACTGTGTGGGGCAGGCAGATATTTTTGGGAGAAGTTAATCCCTCAGGAAACATGTTCTTATGCCATGTAAATCTGTAAAGAAAACCACCAGCACCTTGAATCACATCCAGATGTCTATCAAGAGTCAGTCAGTGCAGAGGCTAGTGGTGTTTTGTGGGCATAATGAGATGTACCTAGAACAGTGGTAGGCAACCTTGGTTCTTTTATGACTGGCTCAGGAATTCTGGGAGTTGAAGTCCATAAGTCATAAAAGAGCCAAGGTTGCCTACCCCTGACCTAGAACTACCTGTGTCCCTGCATTCTGCCCCATAAGCTTCCAGCTGGTCTTCAAGGGCTGCCCTATGTAAAGCCACCCCAACGAGAACCAAAGATACAAACACTCTAATTCCCAGGTATATATATTTAAAGATTTTGGTGGATGTTTTAAAGAGAGCCTATTTCAAATACTAGTTTATGAGCTCCACTACACTACAGTTTGGGATTTGAACAAAAGCTTACATTGAGATTAATGTATGCCCCTTGCTCTTTCTATGCTGGAAGTATTGAGACCCCACGCCCACTGTCTACTGTGGCTTATTCATGGCTGATCTCATGCTGACGTATAATTAATGCGATGCGATCTCTGGACTTTCCAAAAATCCAATCAATCAATGGGAAGTATTAGATCAAAAGCCTGTTTTCTTAAAACTACGTTATTAATTGTAGGTCTGAGCAAAGAACTTTGAAAAAAAGTTGTTTCATAAACCATGAAGAGAGCATCCCTCCTCAACGTGCTAAAGCTGCATCTTTTAAAAAGTTCACAAAGTTGCTTTGAAGGCTTTCCCAATCGCTCTGCATGTCTGCCTCTATGCATACTGACTCTGTTGGCAGCCTCAGAATGTGTTGCCTGTGGATTACACATGCATGTGCAGACAACTGGAGTCACTTTTTGAAGCGGCTGTGTGAGTCTTCCGGAGGACAAAGCTGCTTTAATATGTCAAAAATAGTGCTGAGTTTCCACCAATGTGTTTTGCACTGAAGCCTCTTCTAAATATTTTACAGAATAACATTCCCAAGTAATTAAACATCTGAATGCGATTCCAACGGAATAAATTCAATTAAAACAAAGAAACTTAAGCTCATAATTAGGCACTTAAGCTCATAATTAAGCATTTTTAAACAGAACAATGCTCATTTTATTTCCGCTCTTTCCCTTCTCTTGTCTTTGATAAAACTAGAATTGTTCTCATAGTTAAAGTTATTTATTTTCAATTGTCACCTGTAGACAGCCATAGAAGCCCTGCTGCACAGAGACTAGATCTCCAGAGACACCTCCTACAATAATGCTTTTCATTTTTAGTCCAGGTAACTGATTTCCAATCTGTACAGTGCTCTAAAAAGAGGAAAATAGGAAAGATGATTAAAGCTTTTCTGTAAATTCTTAGTTACAGTATTTCACTGATAATTTTTTTTAAAAAATAAGCAAGAATAAGTCTAAAAGTGGTAATAGAAGCTATTCCTGTTGTGCTTCCGATAAGGAAGCCACTCCAAAAGGTATAATGCCTTCCCCTGTTCAACACAGTTTCAAGTAATGTGAAAATGGTAATTAATTCTCCATGAGTGAATAAATCTTGTCATTATGAGCAGTGGTGGGATTCAGGCGGTTCGTACCACCTCAGCAAAACCGGTAGCTAATTTTTGGTTGCCCAGGCCCAGAATGGACTTCCAGAAGTGGCATCCATACAGAGAACTGGTTGTTCACATATTTGAATCCCACCACTGACTATGAGGCAGAAGACAAACAGTATTAAATCTCCCAGCAGGATCCAGTGTACTCTATGTAGGCTTTGGATATCATGAAATCCATCTTGATAGAATGATGATGCCCAAGTAGTTCAGTTTTCCCTGTTTTGCTATTCAAAGTTTGAAGGATTTGAAAATTAATTAAATGTTTGCCACCCATCTCCCAACAAGAGTTCACAAATAAAAAATAATAACAAGTACAGAATATTTTTAAAAATGGCAAAGATGACAAAAAAGGGGAATTACAAAAAAAGACATGAGTCCACACAATCCAAAGGGGACTTCACTAAACTTCCTCAAATGAAAGAGTGCCAAATTCTTGGGGAGAACCTCATTGCACAAAGGAGGCACCCCAACAGAGAAGGCCTGCTTCCCAACAGATGGCATTAATTGAAGGACTCCAGAGCACACAAACCTTAGATTAAATTGGCTGGTCAGATACTATGGAAGACAAGTAGTCTTTCATATAACCAGATCCAGTGGTGGGATTCAAATATGTGAACGGGTTCTCTGTGTGGATGCTGCTTCCCAAAGTCCATTCTGGGCCTGGGCAACAAAAAGTAGCTAGCGGTTCTGCCAAACTGGTGCGAACTGGCTGAATCCCACCACTGACCAGATCCTATACCAGTGGTGGCAAACCTATGGCACGCGTGCCAGAGGCAGCACTCAGAGCCCTCTCTGTGGGCATGCGTGCCATCGTCCCAGCCCTGCCTCCCCCAGCGGCCTTCTCCTCACCAGCAGCCCCCCAGGGGAGAGTCGCCCCCAAGTGTGGCCTGCGTGGACCAGCGCAGCCAAGGACATGGCAGTCGGGCAGCGGGGACAAGACTCTGCCCTCTCACCCCGTCATGTGCAGATGATGCGGGGCACGGGTGGAGGGCATGGCTGCCTTGGCACTTCTGGGCTGCCTGGGCAACATGTGGCAGACTGTGGAGGCGGTGAGTGGCCCTCCGGGCAGGTGGAGATGGGTTTTGGGCACTCAGTCTCTAAAAGATTCACCATCATGTCTTATACCATGTAGGGTGTTATGGGTAGCAACCAGCCCCTTGAATCATACTCAGAAGCAAACTGGCAACCACCAGTGCAGCTTGCAAAGCTGAGGTGTTAAGTAGGCATACTGAGGCATTCCCATCACTGCTCATGGTACTGTATCCTGTTTTTCCAGGAAAATATACAGACTGCACACCACTCTTAAATGTGTAAGTGCAATCTCATTCAATGTTAATGATGGATCTCAGTGGCCTGAATACCTACAGCTACTTAATCTTGGCAGGATTGAGTCAAGAGACAGTTCTTTCCTATCCAAACCATCCCAACCTCTAGCACTGGGATAGAACCTTGACAGCCTCATTTGGATATAATTTGGTATCATTGGCATACTGATGACACTGAACCCCAAACTGGCAGATGACCTCACTGTGTGATTATATATAGATGCTGAAAAGGAGGAAAGAGGAAGTAGAACCTTGAAACACCCCACAAGGAATGAAGCTCCCTCTGTCCACCAACCAAGCAGAAATTGCTCCAGAGAAAGGAAGAGAACGATAAAAAATGGTGACTTATATCCTCAGGCCATGTCAGAAAGATATTGTGGTTGTTGATATTAAAACTGCTATTGAGGATCACAAGGATCCTAGTTCTACCACAAATAATGTACAAGTTCAATCAAAACTTTCTTAGTATTAAATCCTGGTCTGAAATCTGACTGAAACAGGTCTAAATAATCTGTTTCCTCCAGGATCATCAGCCGCAGATGTACAGAATATACAGAACTGGATGACACTGGGTTAAGAATAGCTGGCAGATTATAACACAACTGTTACAGAAAAATATATTTCTGAATCTGTGATAGAAACAATGAGAAATGACTTTATTCTGGCATAGTTCATGGTGCCACCTATTCTGGCCATTCCTGTCTCATTTTCATAATGAAAGAATATGGATGTCATCTTACCTGATACATGCCATAATCCAAGGACACAACTGCAAGATATTTGATGTCTTTGCCATCTTTCGCACTCTTCAACTCTATTAACAAATGATGCCATTCACCATCATTGATCCGTACCTGGGTCATCCTCAAACTGGCCACCTGATTCGGTCCATCATAGACCTCAAATACCACATATTTATTCAGTATCTGTTGAAACATAACTTTAGTTGATGAAAAAAAACTTGAATTGCTGAGAAAATGCCATATATACATCAAAATATATATGCAGTTTTGGGAAAATGGTTACAAAATACAGGTTACCGTATATTCCGGCGTATACGTCGACCCGGCGTATAAGATGACCCATGTCTTCGGTGCCAAGTCGCATGCCTAGAAAGTCATCTTATATGCCGGAAACTACCGTAATTTCTGGCGTATAAGACGACTTGGCGTATAAGACAACCCCCGACTTCGGTGCCGATTTTACCACTTGCGGAAGTCATCTTATACGCCGGAAAGTACGGTATATTTAAAGAAACATTATTATTATAATTTTTCATATTTATTGATCCAATTAATTGGTCTAATTAATATTAAGACCAATATTCTATCTATATTCAGTTATTAGGTCCACTATGAGCGGCAATTAAAGATTGTCCATTCTTCTAGATCTGTATGCATTGATTAATATTTAAAGCAGTCTTGATTTAGCAAAGGTATTTTTCCTTCTGCTAAAACCAACAGGGGGAACCAAAAAGCTAGTAGTTTGCTCTTCTCAGTCCCTACTTACGACTGCTCTGATTATAGGCTGAGTGAACTCTACAGTTTTGTGATATTCTGCAACTTCAGGATGGCCAACTTCAGGCTTGTTTGTTGGCTGATGGTAAATGAAATATGCATAAGACTGTACTGTTGAATTGCCTTCATAGCTAAGCAAAGACATTTAACATTACAGGTAGTCCTCAACTTACGACAGTTTGTTTAGTGGCCGTTGAAAGTTACAACGGCACTGAAAAATGACTTATGGCCGTTTTTCACAGTTACAACCTTTGCAGCATCCCCATGGTGACATGATCAAAACTGGCAGCTGGTTCATATTTATGACGGTTGCTGTGTCTCAAGGTCATGTGATCCCCTTTTGCGACTTTCTGACTAGCAAACTCCATGGGGAAGCCAAATTCACATCCTAACTTACCAACTTCAGTGATTCACTTAACAACCGAGGCAAGAAAGGTTGTAAACTGGGGCAAAACTCATGTAACAAATGTCTCACTTAACAACAGAAATCTGGGGCTCCATTGTGTCTTAAGTCAAGGATTTCCTGTACTGTTGGCCATTTGTTATCTAGTGGCATTCCCTTGTTGTGATTGAGTTGATAAGCTAACATACCTGTATATTAATCTTAGATGATACTCCCGCACTGGCTTGCATTAACACACCATTAACCTTGCGAGTTCTAAACATGAGGCCAATGTACCATGGTATAGAAATAGTGATATCAAGGTTATTCCAGGTGATGATGCTTTCTCCAGTGAACCGCTGAGGAAAAGGCATTGCTATAACACAAGGCAAAGAGGAGACAAAGCAGGATTACTTAATCAAATATTTTAGAATGAGGAAAAAATTGTCAGAACATTCTTAACTATACCAAAAATATATACTGCATGGTACCAGTAAGCATAATGTCAGGCAAACTTTCAGCTTCTGGGATCTCCCTTCTTTTTCATAAAAAATCCAAATGTTATTAACTGTAAAGTCTACTACAAAAAATAAATAGCTAAGAAAAAAAAAGAATTATCTATCCAGAATACAGCCTTTTCAGAGAAATACCTACTTCTGTTTATCTCAAACTTTCTTTATTTCTTCTATGTAATTTTAGGTTGGGTTTATTTTATCTAATTGCTATATTTAAACAACGGAGGACCTCAAATCTCCAAATTCATCAAAAATTTGTCTGTGGATCCCAATTGCATTTTGTGTCCGCTGCTGGCACAAGAAATATCTCCTATGCAACAGTAGATGAAAATGGGCTTATTACTGCATAGATTCCAATGTTCTCACAGTTGTGCTTTAATAATAACATTTTTTAATCTCCACATAACCAAGAAGGATAGATAAGCAGTGGCTGTATTTTAAGGTGTTACTAGGTAACATGTAGAAATATGTTTCTTTAGATGTAGAAATATGATTCTTCAGCAAAATCCGTTGTCTATTGATTTTGTAGACAATAATACCAAAAAAAAACCCCAAGTGAAAAAGCTACACAATTTAATTAAGAAGCAGCAAAATTAAAAGATGTTCTCTAAATACTGAAAAATCAGGAATATAGCAAGGGACGATAGGCTGTGTAGACCAAAATATCTAGGAACATCCAATTGCCACATACAGCCTAGAGAAGTTGAAGGCTGTACTTTTCTGTGTGGCAACATTGAGACTGTTATTTTGCTGCACAAATATTAATAATATTAATGCAAATTTATATATTTCACTAAACAGAAGATAATATTTACTGTGTGCCACTCATCTGTAAAGTTTCTGCCCATTGAATAACAAGCATGTTCTTCCTAGCTGTAGCTATAAAAAGGTGTTGAGCTTAATTATGAATTTATAAATGGTAACAAAATCCTGTATAATGTTTAAAAATGTATGTAGGAATGTGGTTCTGACAGTTTCTGGGCTCTGGTAATACCAAGCGTGTGTGCTATTTATTACTTCTATTAAGAATCTGACAGTGTTATTTTTATGGCCCCAAGGGGCAGCAAAATAACACATTTATAAAGGATTTGACAAGCTCAAATTTGTGGCTGCTGTGTCACCTATGCCCCAGGCAGAAAGCACTTTGATCCTATGAATATATTTTGTTCCCTAATGTGCAATTGTTGTCAGTGTTTTTACTTCTGGTTTAATTTGGTCATTTGCTAAAAATTCTCCTTTACTGACATTATTTATTTCCCTTTGTGCACATTCTGCTCCACATATCTATCTTACAAGTAATAAGTAATTGATCTTACCTATTTATATCCCTACAACAGCATGAATCAAATGGTTTTTGAAAGTAGTTTCTGTAGAAAACCAATTATGCTATACAGAAGGATTGCATTAAAAATTTGCTTTAGCTCAGTGGTTCTCAACCTTTTTAATGCCGCGACCCCCAACCGGTCATAAGTCGAGGACTACTCAACCGGTCGTAAGTCGAGGACTACTCAACTGATGCAGCACTGTTTGCAGAATGGGACTTTTGGCGGGCTCAGCAGGGCAGAGACAGCCTGGACAATTCCTATTGGCTTTTGAAAGCCAATAGAATTAGACTCTATTCAAGAGAGTCTATTCTATTGGCTTTCAAAAGCCAATAGAATAAAAGGGAGTAGCACAGCTAAGGAAAAGGGGGAAAAAATGGCGGACTACATTGTTTGGCGACCCCCGTGAAATGGTCATTCGACCCCAAATGGGGTCCCGACCCACAGGTTGAGAACCACTGCTTTAGCTGAATTTCTATCAAAAATGGGAACAAAAGCTTGCAATACGCATCACATAGGTTCTGACTTGAATCATGATTAGCGATTAACATGCTGTCAAAGTTTATTACCAGAAGCTTTAAAGAGAAGTAACAATGGCTTAATGATTCAAAATGACTTTGCATTAGCTGAAAGAGCCAATTCTCTAAACATAGTACACCATTTTGATTGCTGTAACATAAATAATGGCAGAACATATGTACTGTTCACAATAATAATTATTTGGAAAGTTATTAAAGCAAATCAGCAATATTCGGAGAATCATTCTTTAATTGTTTTCTGAAAGACAGTTCATCAATCTGATTTTCACATTTTTCTGGAAACATAAATCATTCACACTTACATTCTTATTTGCACTTAGTAAATTATGAATAGGTAGCTCAAGTTCTCAGAGCACCATTCCTTATAGTACCCAAAGGTCACCAAATAGATACAGTTTGCAGAAGTACAATATAATATTTAGAAACTACTGCTTTTAAAGCCAATATGGAGGCAAAGACAACTCAGAAAGATTGATGGAAAGCCGATATTCTCATTGTAAAAATATATATTTACAGGTTGTACTTATTGCTGATTTTCCCCTGCAGCACAAGAGGCTTGGCCATACAGTATTCTCAAAGGGGGTGGGGGTGGGGGAGAGTGAAATTCAAGAAACTTAGCCAGTATCTTCCAAGAGTATGAACTTTAAAATTCACTCTCATATTCATTGCCATCTGCTAAAGTTTCATAGATGTGGTACAGAGTACAAATTCACCATCTGGGAACAAATGAAAAAAGAATTCCCTGAAGACTGAGGCTGCCAAATGGGAACCAAAGAATTGCAATGAAGAGTATGAATGAGGATGTTCTCTGTTAGGATGTACAAGTGACTAAAGAAAGTCATTATTTAAATGAATTCTTTTATGTCTGAGTGATTTCCTGCCCCAGTGATTACTCAGAAAAAGGTTAAACTTAATTAAGCCAGTATTATTAACTAATGGTGCTGTATTATTCGATTGAACTAAATGGGACCATTTAAACTGAAGAATTTTTTGCTTAAAGAAGATTGAAGATTGATTTTCTGTGTCCAAAATGAGTTGTCATACAATGGAGATAAAGAATATGCTACATAATGGGCATGGTTTCGCATCCAGGATTCTATGACACAAACTTCCCCAACCTCCAGATATGTGATTCCTAGAATTCTCAACTAACATGGAAATAATTGGTTTGTATATACTGGGAATTATAGTTCCAAAATACTTGGAAGGCACCAAACTAATGAAGGTGCAGTAGATTATTAGATTCCTGCTAATGCCTGCTTTAAGAGGGTGAAGACAGGGTGAAGACAGGATTTATAATATATTTAATAAGTAAAACTGTTGTATAATAATTAAAATTTGCTCATACACAGTGGAACACTCTATCAAAAGCAGGATCCATTGTTTACCTTGCTCACAGTTTTTGCCCCCATATCGCAGGGGGCAATCACAGCTGTAAGTATTCCATTTGCTCACACAGGTACCACCATTCTGACACCAGTTTGTGGTGCAATAATTCTTCTGAGCTAAGCAACCTGCAATTCAAAAAAAAGTTTTGTCCTCAAGTCATTCCGTAATCATGCATTCAAGTTGCAACAAGCTGTGCTCTGGATCACTGTTCTGCTTCTGAATAGATGCAACTGCGTTTTCTAGAAAGCAATTCACAATGCTTTATCATATTTTATATTGTGATATCCAACACTCAACAGTTCTCTTTTGTGAAGGGGAGGCATTGAAAACTAGGCTAATATTATAGTAAAACAAATGCTAAAGAGTTTGATACTCAACTGTTTTTATTTTCACTATGTGGTTAGTACATATATCAGAGACCTAGGCTACCAAGTAATGTTTCAGAATAACATCTGTGCAAAAACAGTTTTCACAGGATGTTATTTTAAATTTATCTGCAGAAATATATTTCCTTATGTAGATAAAGCTTGTTTAGCAACTGCTCATTTACCAGACTTTCTTCACTGTTACACTGGTAATAAAAACATCAATATTTGCATTTACAATCCATCAGGTCTGTAAAGCAAAGGAAAGCTGAAGTAAGATCATAACACAGTCAAATTTTTATTCAGACATCACTTTGCTTAATGACAAAGTCTCAGTTGTGGTTGCTAAATGAGGACTATCTGTATGCATAATGTAATTAATAAACTTGAGAAATTAGCCCATGAGTACATCTCTATTTCCTTCTTTTTCCCATGAAAACACAGTTCTTTATGTGTATAATTTTCAGTGAACCTAAAATATTTTTATTCCACTTTTATTCTTGTGGAGGTTATACCTGCAAGTGTGCCATTATTGGCTATGTAGCTGGCCATATCGATAGGCTTGCTGTCTATGGAGAGATTCCTCATACAACCAACAAACTGCCTGTTATGTACAGGAAAATCTTCAGGTAAATTGGGAACACCTCCAAGCAGCAGAGGTCCAGTTAAATCCAATGACCTAAAGAAATCAGAAATAAAGAGGTTTTTGACTCAGATATGTAATATATTATCTCTTGCACAATAACCATATTATTGGGAATTAGATATTAGAGATAATTCCTTACTGTTATTACAGATTCTTTCATGACACTGAAATAAAATAGTACTAGTAGTCCTTGCTTACCAAAAGCTTTGTTTAGTTACTGTTTAAAGTTATGCCATCTAGGAAAAAAACAGCTTTGTGATGAATCCCCACTATCACGTAATCACATTTGCATGCTTCACTAATGGCTTCTGACAATCAATGGAGATGCCAGCAATAAAATTGTAAATTGCAGTCATATGGTATTTAATGACTATGGGTGATTCATTTAACAACAAAAGTAGAAATGACACTGTAAATCCAGCAGTCACATGATTTTTCACTTAGTGACAGAGGTGCCAGTCCCAATTGTGGTCGGTAAATGAGGACTATTTCTAATGGATCATATTAAAATGATATAAATCATTACAGTCAATAGTCAACTATTTTAAGGTTTTTTTCTTTTTTAAACCAATGAAAGGTTTTGCCACAAATGATAAGAAAATTTTTTCATGCTTTTAGTATTACAGTTACAAAGCACTGTAATTCTTATATATCAGGTTGTTATTGAAGAAGAAAGTTGATGTAGGTACCAAGATGGCGGCGCCTGGATTGGCTGCGGCTGCATTGGCTCTCGAAGGTGAAAAGTTTTTGGAGGGATATAAGGGATATATACTCACCGGAGAAGGGCCTAATGCTGGGAAAGATTGAGGGCAATAGAAGAAGGGGATGACAGAGAATGAGTTGGCTGGATGGAGTCACTGAAGCAATAGGAGTGAGCTTAAATGGACTCCAGAAGATGGTAGAGAACAGGAAGACCTGGAGGAACGTTGTCCATGGGGTCGCGATGGGTCAGACATGACTTCGCAACTAACAAAACAACAAGGGATATTGGCCACATGATTGGGAAGGTTTTAATGTGTTCAAGCAACGTAGTGGGGCTAAACATACGACTGACAATCTTTGTTGGTATGACGAGTTTTTAGTGGTTTCGGAACTGTGTCCATTAAAAGACCTTTGTGCTGTTTGAAATTGTTCTGCTGGCAGCAAGATTTGAGTGCTGGCACAGCAACAGAGTCTATTGCAAATCAGGGCTGTTTCCAAAGGAGGCACAGAAGGAGAGGTCCCAGGGCTTATGGCTTGTGAAGGAACTGGATGAGGCTGTCAGCAGGCCCAGAGGAAGGGAGAGAGGCTTTTGGAGGAGTTTGACGCTGCGGCAGAAGCAGAGTGCTCCAGGGGCAAAAAAGAGCAAGGCCCCTTTAAGGAAAAGGTAGAAGTGACAGGATTAGAAAAAGAAAAGGAGGCTGTCCTGCAGGAATACAAGCTAATTTGAGGGCTAATCCACATGGAGTTCCATTTCCATCTGTCCTGTTTGGCGTGGTTCGCTCCCTAAATGGACGTTCTGAAACTTGACCTGGCCACAAACAAGGAGTGTATATATGCCAATTGGTGTATATTCAAAGTGACAATAAAGTTGTTGTTGTTGTTCTTACTACTACTAGTACTACTACTACTATTATTATTACTATTGATATATAGATAACATTTACAACAATTATTTGTAACATAAATACTTAGATGATATTGACCAATGTGGTTTATGATTACAAAGGAATATGTAAATCCAACACCTAAATTTCATCCTAGTAGTTTCATCATGCACTCTTTTGCTTTTTCAAATCAACAGACATAGCAAAACCAAAAAGATTTACATAATCAAGATGCTGCATTTATTCAAACTTACATTGACTTGTAAATGTAGATTTAACCTGAGAAAGCTATTCAAAACCTAAGTTGAAAATATTCCAAACAGGGTTAATTCATTAAAAGCATTCAGCGACACAAACATTTTCAAGTATCTTTTCCCATTTACTGAAATATATCAATTTATTCTAATGCAAACCTCGGGATTTGAGATTTCAGCCCTTTAGTTCAATGTGATTAAAGACCACAGAGGAAAACTGATCAAATGTGTTTCTTCCTCCATTTCCTTCACTTTGACATTGTCCTTCCTCACCTGAATGAACATTTTTGAAGTGAAGCGTGAACACTAGACTTTACTTACTTTTCATCTTCTTCTTCACGTTGACTTTTTCTACCCTATAAGCCCATTTTAAAAGATGCTTAAGTAATAGAAATATTTGCAGCAATAGGTAACTTGCCACAAGGAGGGGCAATTTAGCAAAGATTTCTACATGATTATTCTCTGAACTCGACAATTTTGTCCTTAATGCACAAACGTAAAGTTTCAGGCAAACAGATATGAAAATGACTTTACGTCTGACAATAATCACTTCTAGGCATACCTAAAAAAGTAGTGAAGTCTCTGTTAGCTAGATTAATTCTACTATTAAAACATGTACATGTCATAAAAAAAACATCTTACTTTTTGGAGCCGGACTGTGTTCCCTGAGCAGCACAGGAGTAGTTTCCAATGAGACTTCCAAAGCGCACAGCCACTGCAGTATCACAATCGTCCACAGTTACTACAGCCACCTTCTCCCCTGAAGGCCCATGAGGAATGCCAAGTTGCCCTATGTTGGGCTTCAAAATAAATGTGAACATTTTAAAAACTTGAACTCATAAATATTTTAAGCACCGGCTCTGTACACACTCTACCTCACTGTAAGCTAGGGATGTAACCTGTCAGCCAAGGTTACTGATGCCCTTTAAGCCCAGGACTGAACCTCTCAGAAGCCACAATAACCATGACTGCTAGAAAGTGACCATAGTACAGGTAGTCCTCGACTTACAACAGTTTGGTTAGAGACCGTTCAAAGTTACAACGGCCCTGAAAAATGTGACTCATGACCATTTTTCACACAACCTTTGCAGTGTCCCCAAGATCACGTGATCAAAATTCAGATGCTTGGCAACTGGTTCATATCTATGACGGTGGCAGTGTCCTGGGGTCATGTGATCCCCTTTTGTGACCTTCTGACAAGCAAAGTCAATGGGGAAGCCAGATTCACTTAACAACTGGGTTACTAGTTTAATGACTGCAGAGATTCACCTACTGTATATTCCGGCGTAGAAGGCGACCCGGCGTATAAGACACTCCCGTCTTCGGCGCCGAGTCGCATGCCTAGAAAGTTGTCTTATATGCCGGAAACTACCGTTATTTCTGGCGTATAAGACGACTCGGCGTATAAGACGACCCCCGACTTTGGCGCCAATTTAAAGCTTGCGAAAGTCGTCTTATACGCCAGAAAGTATGGTAACAACTATGGCAAGAAAGCTCATAAAATGGGGCAAATTCACTTAACAAACGTTTCACTTAGCAAGATAAATTTTGGGCTCAATTGTGGTTGTAGTTTGAGGACTACCTGTATTCTACCTTCATGGTATTTTTTAAAAAAATGAACCTTGTAATGCAGTCCCACTCAAATATGTGATTTGACCTCCATTTGCTTTGACCCTCACCCCATCCAATATGGAGTGTGATCCTTGGCCAGCAAGTGATTTATCTTAAGCAGTAAAAATCTGAGAAATTTTACTATACTGATTTTACCAATCTTATACTTTCTGAGGTTGCGCCAAAACTGAAATAGTCACCCTTTTGAGATCAATAAGAGTCTTGGGGGAAGCTAATCAAAACAAGAGAATGACAATGAGACAGGTTTGTTTGCAATGGCAAACAAATCTTTATTTAGTAACAAAGAGTACAAGTGGTCCACTTTTAGCATGCCTGGCTGAGGAATTCTGGGAGTTGAAGTCCACAAGTCATAAAGGGCCATGTTTGAAGACCCCTGAATTAGTCACACAGCTGTTAAGTGAATCTGGCTTCCCCATTGACTTTGTTTGTCAGAAGGTTGCAAAAGACGATCACATGATCCTGGGACGCTGCGACCATCATAAATATGAATCAATTGTCAAATATCCGAATGTAAATTATGTGACCATGGGGATGCTGAAGTGGTCGTAAGTGTGAAAAATGGTCATAAATCACTTTTCTCAGTTCTGTTGTAACTTTGAATAATCACTAAATGAAAGTTTCTTGCTATTTAACCTGTTTAATCTAAACCAAGCTATTACATTGAAATAAGCTTTCCACAGCCATTGCCATTATACTTAACAGACATTAATCTTACTAAAAGTTTTTCAAAGGCTATTTCCTGGTATTAGGCTATGCCAATGAAAGTGTTTTTCATTTCCTCCCAGCTATATTTACTATGATCACATAACTTGGCAGTGCTTCATATAAAGTGCTTGACATTTGCCAGGTAATACAAGGCCTAGACTCACAAACAGCAGATAAGGAGAAAAATCTGATTTATATCAGAATGGTAGACCTTCAAGTATTAGTGCATTTCATCAATTGTTCTGGGAAACATTATTTTAAAAAGCAATAATCATTTTCAGTTATCTTCAACATCTGCACTTATGCACAGTTTTTTGATTAATATATGCACATGTATGTGTATTGAGTTAATGAGTACATGTATGGATATAACTTGTCCTAATACAGCCTTCCTCAGACTGGATTCCTGCAAACACAATAGATTTCAATTCCCATACTCAAGTGTGAGACATCTACAGATTGAGGAACACTGTCCTAATGCACAGTTGATTGTACAAAACTTTTTAAAATATACTCTGGTTTCCTATAAATCAGTGATGGCGAACCTTTTAGAGATTGAGTGCCCAAAAACTGGCCCCACCCCGATGAGGCGTGAGGGCAGAGTCTTGTCTACACTGCCTGGCTGCCATGTCCTTGGCTGCGCTGCTCTGTGTGGGCCACGCTTGGGGATGACTCTCCTCCAGGGGGGCCGCTGGTGAGGAGGGGCTCGTGTGGGGAGGCAAGGCCGGGGCAACAGCACATGTGCTCACAGAGAGGGCTCCATGTGCCGCCTCTGGCACGGGTGCCATAGGTTCGCCACCATTGCTATAAATCTTTCTCAAATATTTACTTTCTGTACATAAGTTTTCCAAATATATGCAATTTCACAATGCAGATAACTAACAATGCAGATAACTAACAATCTGAATTGGTCTCTCCACACGTCATCCTTAGTGAAGCGCGCAATCCAGGGTCTGCATTTCCTGCATCAGATGAGGAGAGCACATCTTTCTCCTTCTGTCCTGGCCACTTTTTACAGAGACACAATTGAAAGCATTTTAATAAACTGCATCACTGTCTGGTTTGCTGGCAGCAGTGCCTCAGATAGAAAGTCCATACAGATAACAGCCAAGAAGATCATAGGAAGCTCGCTCCCTGGTATTCAGGATGCTGCTTATAAGCGCTATGTGCTTAGAGCTCAAAGCATTGTTAGGGACCCCACACAACCACTTTGTGGTCTGTTTCTGTTGCTCCCCTCTGGGAGGAGGTTTCGAAGTATTTCTAGCAGGGCTACCTGATTCTGTAATAGCTTTGTTCCCTATGCCATCCGTCTGGTAAACTCGCAAAATTCGTTTTTCTTGCCATGCACATGTATACATAACCCGAAGTAGACTGGTGTTTCTCTGTGTCATATAATATATGTGGGTATATGCATAATTCTGTATTAATTTATTTTTGTCATATTTAGTGTATATTGGAGGTAGTGACCTTTGAGAGCTGAATACAACGAAATTTCATTTTAATGTATTCCGATTAGTGTACATTCAAAGTGATAATAAAGTTATTCTACTCTATTCTATTATTCTAATATGTATGTAATGAGTCAAGAAACTGCAGATTTACTTCGCAAAAGTTTTTTTTAAAGATTACATGGATTTGATTAAACCACCCACTGAATTAATACGAATTTGAGAATCCAATAGCCTTGCCTATACTGTATGACCACACAAACGTTTTAGTGCACAGATTTGATAACTCAACTTATTCAGTCAAGAATTCAAACTGAGTCAACTCAACTACGTTTCATTCCAGGTAGAAAGCATTAGTCACTGACATCACTGTTGCCCGGGGGACCCCCAGTTGGGAGTTCCTTTCATGTCCCCAGCAGGAGTGAAGGACAGGCGCTCACCCGCTCCATGGCAGCACTCCAATCTCAAACATGGGCTTGCTAACCTCCAACCCAGCGTGCCAAGCATGTGAGCCACCATGCTCTTACTCAACTCAATGAATCAAATGTTTTAAGTCAGATCTTAATGATTCACAACCTCATTAATTATTGGTCAACTTTCTGAGTGCAATTCAAAGTTTTCATCTTGAAGTCCTTTAATACCCAGGAGTTCTGAAAGATTCCATTTTTCATGTAAATCAGCCCAAATATATTAGTTATTCTACTGAAGTTCCTCTCAGAGTGCATGGTAAACAAGTGGGTAGAAAAAAGCACAAGAGCATCCCAGTAATGGAATATGTTATGATATCTATCCCATAATGTCAGGTTTGCCCCAGCTAGGTCCCTAGGAAAGAAAGACCCTTGACTCCATTTGGTTCTTTTACTAAGAATTAGTGGTTGTAGCAAAAGGAGCTAGAACTGAGTATTCCCACACAAAGTTTTTCCCCTCCGTGGTCCTTCAACCAGACTGTCAGTGTCCAATAGCATTCCAGTGCAATGTTTTGGGAACTGCTTTCATGTCAGGCTGAGTCTTGAAACAGCTTCGCATTCCTTCCCAGGCCAATCATTCTCGGGCAACTGGATTAGTCTGTTTCTCACACATCTGGTTTCTGTCAATGCCCTTCCCTCTCCCGTTTAGCTCCTTCATCTTCCTCCTGCACATCTTCCCCAAATGCCTCTGCCCCCTCCCCATTTATGGCAAGATGCCAGCAAACTTAGTGAAGCGTAGCAAAGATGGCAGAGCTGACACTTATGATTTTTATTATTTTGTCACAGGTTGAAGACCTGCCAGGCTACAATGGTGTGGACTCTTAGAGGAAATGCTTAAATGTTTCTCTTCCCTGTTTTCATTAGATTATGCAGCAGTTTGCACAATCATCCTTTTATGATTCCCACCTTCAAAAGATTATGGGGTAGCCAGCCTATATTCATACTCAAGCTTATTGTTTCCAGTAGAATAGGAGTCTGAAGTATGAGTCAGTACTCGACTGAAAAATGTATTAACATGCACACTACACTTGTCAGCAATTTTTAAAGAAATGAAATATTTTCTTGGAATTACACAACAGTGGTTGTGTGATTTGGCAAAAAATGAATTTAATATAAGGAGGGTGCCGACAGATGCAATGTGCATATATCCACAGACACACGAAATAATCTTTTATATTTCAAAATCATCTTTTATATTTCAATCTTGGTTTGCTGCAGAGGCCTTCATTTCATGATTCTTTCCTGTTTTAGAATATTAGTCTGTCATCTTTCCCCCCTGGCCCTCCATCCTTTCCTCCTCAGTGTTATTGCACTAAACCCATGAAATGGGGTGTCAAGCTAGTTCGCCTCCTTGTGGTACACCCTGGGTAGTGCCACAGTGTGAACTAAACAAACTAGCAACTGCTGGCAGCCAGATTAGACTTTCCTGGCTTTCAAAATGCATGGCAGCCAAACACTAAACAATAAATAAATACCCATGAAATATTATTCTATATAAAATCAATCCTTATTGAAACTAAGATGCTGCAAAATGAAATAAAATGACTC